GCTGCAGTCTGCGTTGCTCTCACCCGATTGGGTGTCAGCTTTGGACGCAGGGCAGATTATCCCGTTGTCATGGCTACAGCAAACAGGAAATGCCCCGAAGCAGGTAATGCTTCAGGCTTGTTCCGGTGTGTTGCTCATTGCTTGCAGGGAAATTCGGCTCATTACTGTTGCTCCGTCTTTCCATCTGCTCCCACAATGCCTCCCTTTTTTTTTTTTTTTTAGGGGAGACAGGAGCAGCCAAGGAGCTGAACCATAAATGCTGTCTGGATAAAGATGCTTTGTCCCAAACAAGCCCTGAAATCCAAGGTCGACCCTAAACTCCTTATCTGCACCTTCTTAGGTTAGGTGCTTAACATACCTTTGGAACAAAAAACAGGATCCACAGGATCACTGTTGCTTTGTGCAGCCTCACTATTGCTTTACAATATATTGTACCGAATCACTTTGATCACAAAATATCAGCAGATGTCCTATTATTTTCTGCCGTCATGGGAGACTTTTCTCTCTTTCTCTGCGGGTTTCTCTTCATTACATTTGCCTAGCTGCTCAAAATCGGCCCTGAAACGTACCTCTCCTCTCCTTAATCCCCCTCTGTGAAGGTGCAGGTCTGCGTGCTTTTGTACAGTCCCTTTGATGGTAGCTGATGGCCATTGAGACGCTTTCCTGGCCTTTAAGCAGCTTGAGCTGGGTTTTGTGTGCAGCTCTTAAACTGAAGAAAGCGGTAAGAGGGGCCCAGCAGTGGGAGGGAATCAGACTTTCTTCATGCCCTCAGTGCAGTCCATATTCCCCCCGGTGCGCCCCGTCTGCCTGCGACAATAACTTTGACGAGGGCAGGTTCGTGGTCTCTGGTATGTAAACGTTGCCACAGGGAACTGTACGTTATACATCAGCGCTGGTATACGTTTTCACACCTTGTATATCTTTTCCCTCTCCGTTTTCCTTTTACTCCTGAGCTGAAAAGCAGACAAAGAGTATGGATTTCTTTTCCTTGCTTTCATCCCACTCAGCCGGTTGTTGTTGCACAGCATCACGGACGAGACGTGAGCAAAGAAATTAAACAGAAAACCAAGCTTTTTTTTTTTTTTTTTTTTTACCAGTGATGAACTTCACAATCTGTGATTTCAGAAAAGATGAAAGAAAATTTTAAATACAATGACATCACTTTTGATTAAATGCGGCTTATCTTCTCTTGGAACTTTAATCATATACATCGTGCAGCACTTTTACAGGCCCTGAAAACCTGTTTTCACAATCAGCGTTACTTTGAAAACACTGCTTAAAAAGAGTTTAGCAACATTTGAATCTAAATCTGATGCCAGTTGTGGGTTTGTTATGTTGCCAGCACTGATCTGATCAAACTGCGCCCACACAGACCTGATAAAGCAGATTATCTAAGGTTTTAAGTGTTAAACTCTTCATAAATAACATGAAGGGTGACTTTTCTGAGCTTTAACTTTGGTTTTTGCTCAATTAGACATGAATATTTAATTTCATAGAGAAATACTCTTGGAAAAAAGCGTTTTCAGGGCCTTTGAAATGCAACAGAGTGTACATGCGATCCCTCATCACAGCTTGTGGCTATAGTGTAGATAGAACATGAACTGTCATAATTTCAGTATACAAGTGATTTTACATTCACAGTAGAGGGGCAATTAATCGATTGGTTGATTGTCAATAAAAAATAAAAAAAAATCAGCAACTACTTTCATTATCGATAAATCGTTTGTCACTTTTCAGTAAAAATGATAAAGCTTACTGAATTCCTTTGGTTGGGAAACTGCTAGAAACTGTAAACTGATGATGCAGCCAATATTACAGTGAAGAAAAGACAGTTTGCATCCTGAATTGTATGAGGCATGATTCTCAGTATGAGCTCTGTGTCTCCCTCTCGTGGCCAAATAGGGAAGTGAAGAAAAAGAAAAAAACATAAGATGCTTAGAAAATCAAATTAGTGATTAGAATTTGACTCCAAGAAAAACTACTCAGCCGTTAAATCTTTAATCATTATTTTAAGCTGCCTCGTGTGCTTCCGGTGCCATTCTTGTATGTTTATCCTTAATGCAGCCAGTTTCTAAACAGGGACCCCCTCCTTCCATTCAACAGTCAGCACCCCCCACCACCCCACCACCCCAACCCCTGCCTGGCTGATTGCTCCCTCTGTTGGTCATTAATAATACTACTGCTGCTCCCTTACCCCCTGTTAGCCCCCCTCTACCCCCATGTCTGCTACACACTGGGACATTACCATTTGGTGAGACTGACTGGCTTTGGTGAGGAGACGGTGGGGCTCCGGCAGGGGGTACTCCTGCGCTCAAGGCTCTCTTTTGCATCGCCTCGTCTGCCGGATCTCTTTGTTATCGTTGAATGCCCACGTGCCGTTCCTTGAGAAATCAGGGGGGGGGGGGGTTGGTCTGTACAATCTCTGAATCTGCTCGGATAAGCTCCGCAGGTTGAGCTTTTGACCTTGCGGGAAATTGAAACGGACACCTTGTGTGCCTGTGTGATTCATGCACTTAAAGCCTGTCATATATTATGTAATGGAAGGTTAATCTGATGCATAAAGTCAGTGTGGACTGATATTGAAGCGGCAGTTTCGTGACCGCGGAGAGGACACAGATAAATTAAGGCAGTTGTGTGAAATTGTACACTGAAGGTTCGGGTTCCTTATGTTCCTCAAAGCCTCTCAGTGACTAAATGACAGCAGCAGTACACTCACCTCACCAGCAGGTGTCACCACCAAGCAGACTAATGCTGAAAGCTGCCAGCAGCGCATGGGAGGGCCAACATTTGTCTATCAATAAGTCGATTCCCATAATCAGGGATGGGAAGGAAGTTTGAAGGACGTACGTTTTGATATCTGCATCGCTGCTGCTCCTTTCTTTACTTTTCTTTCGTAATGGTGTCTGTGCATCATGTGTTATTGGTACTGTGCATGCATTTACAAAAAAAAAAAAAAAGGCTTGGGCTCGTTTCGCCGCCTCCGAGGGGATGACGGATCCTCCAGAAGGTCATGACCTCTGGCCTAGAGGTCACAGACAAACTAACCAGCTGTCCACACAATAACTGCTCCAGTTTCCCCTCAAGTGTTAAACAGAGCTGGAGCAACATCCTCTTTTCTGACACAATATTCCTTGTGTCATTCTGTTGGAACAAGTTTGTGAGGATGTGTTGATAACTGAAGGACAGAATTTGTGTTTCTTTTCCTTCAAAGATTTCCATTTAGTGTTAAAACTGTTCAGGCTAATTTCAGTCGTACTTTGACACATGGTTTGACACTTTTCTGCCGTTTTCACACCAAGAGAGCAGAGGAAGCGGAAACAGTCGCCTGATCTCACTATATTGCCATTAAGAAGAACCCTAATTGTGCCGGCTTTGCTTGTTTAGATTGAACCAATCAAAGCCAGTGGAAGTAACAGTGGGAATTTGCCGTCATGTGTCACAACCCTAGCCCCCTTTGAATCTGCCCCACTTCAGCTCCTTTGTCATTCAAATAACCTCATGAATATTTCACTCCCCTGATCTGACGGCTGGAAGAGGCGAGGGAGAGAGAGGGAGAGAGAGCGGCTGGAGAAGAAGGGGACCTGAAAGAGTCATAATCTTAAACGTGGCGTGCTTTTATTCAGAGTAACGACCTGTGTGGCGACAGGCGAAGCTCCGGCTCGTGTGTAATTGGGAGTGTGAGACGGCGTGTCACATCACAACCTAAAAGTCACCGCACACACACACACAGACAGAGTCAGGGTGTATAATTCAGCTGTGCTTCACTAAGTCTTTTTCTTTATCCCTCACATCACATTCTTCTGTCCTTGAAGGGATGGTGTGTGGTTTTTTTTTTTTTTTTTCACCTTTTCTTGGCTTTCAGTTTCATGCATTTCGTGGAGAAAGCTTTAAGAAAGCAGCCTGCAAGAAATCACAACAGAGCCTAATTACACGTGTCAAGTGACACAGTCACCTTGCTGTGCAGACCAGCCTGTTTGTTTGCCGTTACACTGTAGCCACAGCCTGAATGTAGCCTCTGGCCCGACTAGTGGGTGAAAGGTAAAGCTAATGAGGCGAGTGGAGGAAATACTCCTAACCTATGAATGCACTCTGACAAAGGCCGGCAGAGAAACATAGGAAATGAAGGTGCTCTCGACGTGGCCTTCTCCTTTTGTGAAGTGGCTTTAGAGCACATTAGCTCGCCTATTGTGAGACATGCTTTGCACTCAGAGGCAAACAGTCAAATATAATCCCCCTGATTCAAGTAGCTTTGCTCTCAATTGAGAAAATAACGTCACCCTCCTCCTCCTCATCATCATCCACCACGTCATAACTCCCATCATACATAGCAGTTTGTGTGTGTGTGTGTGTGTGTGTGTGTGTGTGTGTGTGTACACATGCGTTAATGATATGTGGTGTGGTCCCTTTAAGAGCCCAATGTCATTTTTGGAGAATGAGTCCAAACTCTGAGCTGTGTGTGTGCTGACCGTGGCCTCTGGGTTGGTCACCAGAGGGAAGCAGCAGAAGAGGAATGGCTAACTGATTCTAACCTCCCCAGCCCCCGTTTAGACCAAACGGCAGCGTCTCCTCGCCGCATGCCCTTATCTACCAATGGAATGCAACAGCTGTGCGGGGGAGCAGCAGGGTGGGCTGGCTGAAACCCCCCTGCCAGACCCCCGCACGGCTCAAACCCCCCCCACCCACCCCACCACCACCACCACCACCACCACCTCCAAGGGACGTGCCGGGCTCCTGAAAGGCAGCTCAACTAAAAAGTGAGCTAGACACAGTGAGAGACTCGGCAGGGCTGCTGCACATTCAAAACAGAGGGAGAGGGAGGGAAGAGAGAGAGAGAGAGAGAGAGAGAGAAGGAGAGTCAGGGACAGGCAGTGCTGAAAAGGAGAGCACAAAGAGAAGGAAAGTGGAGCAGGGGAGGGGAACAGGAGGCTGGGTGAAGGGAGAGGGAAAGACAAAAGAAGGAGAGGGGAGACATAGCAGGGTGAACGGAGGGGACTGAGCAAATGGCTACGGAGGAGACGGCGGGGGGAGCCAGGAAAGCCACCAAGAGCAAACTGTTTGAGTTCCTGGTCCATGGAGTGGTGAGTGGCGCTGTCCGTCATTCCCGTGAAAGGAGCTGGGCTCTGGCATGCATCTGTGTGTGCGCTCCAGTGTGTGTGTGTGTGTGTGTGTGTGTGTGTGTGCGCATGAGTCGGCGCAGCAGCAGCAGCAGCGGCAGCGGTCTGTGTGTGAGAGATAGCTGGGTAAAGCTGGCCATGTGAAGGTTATTTCCAGCCCCCTGGATCCCAGCCTGTTAGGAGATGGCTTGAGAGAACAAGAAGTGGAGCAGCATGGATGGATGGGGCTGAGTAGGAGAAGGATGGGGAGCAGAGGATTTCTAACACACACATAAAAAACAAAAAAAAACAAAAAAAAAAAACAGGATAATTGTAGAAATAGAAGCTAAGTGGCAGCAGCAGCGGCAGCAGCAGCGGCAGCAGAAAGCAGCCAGCTCCCCCTTTGGCTAACAGAGGAGCACACCGAGCATGCTTCCCTGGGAGTCACAGACAGAGGGGGGAAATGACGAGTCCACTCATAACAACACAGTCGGAGTAGCCTTCCAGGCGGCGTGTTGTAGGTCGGTGGAAGGATTTGAACCTGTAAGGTCACGAGACAAACGGACGTAGTATCGTAGACGGAGCCGAGGCAGACGGCCAATCCTGGAAATCATGCAGAACAATCAGCCCATTCATGTGAAGCTAGCATGAAATGTCAAGTCAAGTGTTGCTCACGGTTAGAGGTTAGGCAACTATTACCATAAGCCCCACGCTGCACATTAATGACAGAACATGGAGCACAGTAGTGGTTTGTTTTGGTGTTGAGCTGAATGAATTAGAGTCCTGAGGCTGATGTAAAAGTCTTTATAAGTGACACTTTGCTGTTGAAAGTTTTAGCAGATGTGACTTTGACATCCACTCAAGTTCTTTTTTTTTTTTTTACCTCATAACAACCTTAAAACAAAGACCTTGTCCCCTTTTGCCCCCCCCCCCCCAGCCTGATATCCACAAGTTCAACTGGAGAGATTTTCCCTTCCTCAGATTGTTTCATTTGAATTCTTTCTTTTTTATTTCGCTCGGTGTGGTGTCAGAAAAATGCCTAACACAAGTTCCCAAAGATGACATCTTCAAACGTCTTGTTTTGTCCGACCAAAAGCGAAAAACATAAAACCCAAAGATAATCAGTTTAAAATGATACGTGACAAAGAAATGCTCACTGGAGACACTGGAAAAGGAGAAAAGGTTTGATCAGTTTTTGCTTGAAAAACGACTGGAACAATCAATCTTATATCAAAATCAGTCCATGACTCAGGCTTTCCGCCCTGTTATTTCTTAATTATATTTAGGGGCATTTTGTGCCATTATTAGAGAACTGACTGTAGAGTGATGACAGGAAATAATGGGAAAGAGAGATGGGGAACAACTTGCAACAAAAGTCAAGGCCAGACTTTGCACTTCATGTCCTTAAACCCCTTTGGCCAACAAGAAGATTTTTTTTTATAAAGCACACACAGGTCGGAAAGTATTGTTTCATCATAAGAATAGTTTCACGTCCATCCGACTGACGTGTGAATTCTAACTCTACCACCTTTTCATGAAACCTGGCGTCACTTCCTAATCCTCAAGCACACTGAGAAGGTCAAAAAGACTTGGTGGTGTTTGTTTATTTGCTCAACTGAAGAATCATTTCCTTTCAGACTGTTTCGTTCGAATAGCTGTGTATTTGGGGAGCATTTATTTGAAATTGAACCGGAGATGAAGAACGATTGGACTCAAAGCGGGAACGTTGCGGTCCATGAGCTGCACCTTAAACCCCAAGGACACCAGGGTCCCCTTCATTTGAGTAATCTTTAGAGGGTCTGAAGAGGTGAAACTGAGCAAAAGGTAGAAAAACACCCCAAAAAAAACATAATCCGAATTGTGTTTTTATTATTTTGTACCCCAAAAATCATGTGAGGACCCCTTGGATTAATCTGACGCTTGTGGGGACCTGACTCCTGGGTTAGAAAGTATCTCTAGAGCTGAAACAGTTTGTCCATTAATTGCGTAGTTGAACTATTTTAATAGTTCATGAAACGCTTAGCTCATTTTTTGAGCATTTCGTGGTTGTGTCCTCGCCAATGTGATGATTTGTTTTCTTTGGTTCTTACCTGAATAGTTTTGGGTTTCAGGCTTTAAATATGTGAACTTGGGTTCTAGTGAGGTATGAAGAGCATTTTTTCCATAATCTCTGATCAAGCCATTAATCAAATAATCATCATTTGCAGATCTAGTTCTTTTGTCATAACTGTCTGTCTCATCCTGTGGTTTCTACTTTCTGCTCCACTGAATTTCACCTCCGCACTGATCCTGAAACTTGGTGTCACTTCCTGGATCCTCAAGTACATTGAGAAGGTCAAAAGAGATTTTGATGGTTTTTTGTTTGTCAAACCTTTCTGTGTCTTGAAATCCCAGCACTTGTTTGACTGAGCTCCGGTTTTAGACGTAACTCCATTTTAATCAGCGCTGATGTTGGACGTAGTGGCACCAGGTAGATTTATACACTGAAACAAGATGAGGTATTGTCTCTATGACAGGAGCTTTGGTGTTGAAGCCCTGCACACACACACACAGAGACAGACTTTGGGATACAATGGAACAGGTGATTGATGAGCCAGATGAGTGTGTCCTCTCAACAGACCAATTAACCTTGATGAGGCTCTGGCTGCTCCAAGCCAAATATTTCCCTCTGCTTATTTTCTCTCATGCGTGCCTCTCCTCTTTCCTCCCTCTCTCCCCCACATTTTAAGATGGAAAAGTCTTGTTATAATAGTTGCGGCAGGTTCCTGGTTGTGTATACTGCAGAATGGAGAAATATTTATAGTATGGGATATGGGGATGATTTGGCGCAGTTTGTTAGCTTGTGGCGAGGGATGACGTTTCCTTTCCCCTCGTGGCTGACTGGAGCAAAGCAAGTTTCTAGATGCATATGTAGATGCACACACACACACACACACACACACAGATATATGTAAATACAGTGTATGCACACCTTTTTTGTGGCTGCCAAAGGTCGTAGCATTGCAGCTTCAAAGCAGCAGTTTGAGTGTGTGTTGTGGGGGGGGTTGGTGTTTGGCTGAGGTCTGGTTCTAGGACTGATGGGTGGGCTGAAGGCCTGGCTGAGGTCTCTTCTTCTTTCCCTCTCATTATCTGCATTATCTCCCCCTGCTGTGTTACTTCTCTGCCTCGTGTGTGTGTGTGTGTGTGTGTGTGTGTGTGTGTTTGGAGGTCAGCGAGGGCTGCTGTGATGAGAAAAGCCTTCCAGCGCTCTGCATGGGAAACCCCGATAAGCCAAAACATAATACGACACACTGTAGCTTTGTCATCTGTACTTCTGAGTGTGTTTGTGTAAGCGAGCGATAGGACCTTTTGAACATAAACCTCACCCTCACATCTGGGATCATCTGGATCGCTTGCTTAAAGGGTTTGTTCACCCAAATCACCCAAAAGACGAAATATTCCCTCTTTTTTCCTCTGATGGTGTCTAGCCACACAGATTTCTTTGGTTTTATTGACTCAGATTTCGAGATATCTCAGTTTTCTGCCTCCACCCCGGTACAATGGAGGTTGAAGAAACTTCGTCCGTGGCGCTCGCAGCATTGAGAAGTAAATTTTTAAAAATTCAACAGCCACTTGTCTTTCCAAAACACAATGTCCCGGCCACTCAGGATAATCCGCAGACCTTGCCGTGAACAGTTTTCATTGAAATTACTTTGTATCAAAGAAACAAAATTGCTCACATTGAGGTCTGTGGATTTACTAGAGTGACGGGGGGGGTTCGTTTTTTAATTGTTAATTGATATTTTTCAATGTCGTAATCACATTTGAAGTGAATCAAGTTAAAGTAATTAATCAAAGCCATTACTCTTTATTTGATACCAGAGGTTAGAGGCAATATGGATGAGATCCCATCTTATGGTATATGTGCAAAATTCAAATAAGTAGGCCTGTCCAATATTCCCACAAATCAGTTCTGCTCATTGGTTTACCTGCTGATTATTTTTGAACAATTACTCGATTCATCATTTGGTCTATAAAGTGTCAGGACACAGTGAGAAAAATGCTGCTCGCAAGGTCCCAGAGTCCAAGGTGATGCCTTCTTGATTTGTTTGACCTACCGTCCAAAATATTCAATATGAAATGATATAAAACAGAGAAAAGCCACTAATGCTCACATTGTTGAATTACAGGAATAAGATAGAAATCTGATGATGGGAATGGTCGTAATAAAAACCGAGACTTCAGTAAATGTATCTTTAATGAGATGTATATGTTGTCATGAAAAATAGGGATTTATTTTGTCTGAATATTTTTTTTATTATGAATATGTTAACTTGGGTTTTCTTTGATATAATGATTGACATGTGTCACTGTTGTCTGACACTTGACAATAAATCAATAAAGGAAACGATCTTTAGTCTGAGCCCTTAAAGAATGAGTCATGTCCCGTTCGAGGAACCTCATCCAGTTTTTAATAGATTTCAGGGTGCCAATGGAAGCCATAGAAGGAACCATCCATGTAACAACCCACAGATTCATATGTTTAGTACAGTGTGGGTAAGTTTGGCCTCCTCAAATCCCTGCAGCCTTCCCCGAGATGCCAACACACTTCTCAGATATCCATCCACATGGCAGATTCGATTGCTGGCTGGCTGGCTGGCTGGCAGAGCTCCGGGCAGAGCGTTGGAGTCGGTTCAGCAGGTCAGATTATAGAGTACCACTCATTGTGTGTGTGGATTTAGGGGAAATTCATCTTACACATTATCCAGCTATGGCTCTCGGTATCTGTTATCTGAAAAGCTTAAATTCTCCAGACAGCCGGCTGTAACAGGAGCGATGTCTGTCTGGGTGGGTCTGGCTGCTGAAAGTCTAGTCTCTTGTCTGTTTGGTTGTAGTTGTCCAGCTAAGGTAGGAAGTAGACAAAAAAGAGAAGGGGGTCTCTTCTCTTAAGACTCCATAAGGTGACCACGTTCAAGCAGGAGGCCCTGACCATATGTTGTTTTATCCTCTCCCATTTGGAGACCCTTCTCAGTTGCTTTGACCCCTGCCGCCCCCTCCCCCCACCAATAATCTCCCAGCCAGAGTGACAGCAGCGCCTGCTCTGCCTCTTATCACAGGATCTGTGCTTGGTCACCATTTCAAAGGCCATGTAATATGTCAGTCTGAGCCTGTTGAATGCTGTTATAATCTGTCCTGAGTTATTAAATCTCCCTGTGAATACACACATTTACATTTTAACACAATTTAATATCTTTTTTTTTCTTCTTCTTCTTCTTTTTTTTTTAATTGTGCCTTCTCTGTCGTTCATTACCTTGTTCTTTTATTTGATTTCTGGGTTTGTTTGTGTGTGTTTGTGGAGGGTCTAAAGATCACATTAGATATGTGTATATGTGTGCAGTGTAATCCACACTTGAGAGGTGACAAACAGTGTGAAATGTTGGAAGTACGTGAGCGTACGTGAGGAGTTGAAACTCCTGATTTGTATCTTTCAGCTGTTCTCTTCCTCCAACATTTACCCATTCTGTTACCAAATGTAGGCAGTTTCTGTGCCAGTTTGGACTGAGACAAAGTCTTCTCTGCATGGTGATGGTTAATAAAAAAAACACATAAATGTGATTTTGTAGAGGAATTATCATTGGTGTAATATTAATGCATCTACTCAAGTACTACTCTACATTTCAGAGGGAAATATTGTCTTGTTTTTACTTTACTACATTTATCTGACAGGTAGATTTACTAGTTACTTTACAGATTAATATATTAATATACAAAACCTATGATTGAGTTTATGAAATACGATGCATTGTTATATATCAGACCACCCAACAGTCAGGGCCAGATTAACTCAAGGGAGCCCCAGGTTAAGAGTGAGCCATTGGCCCCTAATCAGATTCCCCCACCCCACATTAACCCCCAGGTAATGTATAGTTTGGCTGTAATTTGATTAAAAGGAAAATTATGTAATATATGGAATTAATTCAGTTAGTTAGAATTTTTCTTTTTGGTCGATAAATGTAAAATGGAGTTATAACTACATGCAACAAATAGATGATTTTCAGTGGAAAAGTAACGTCGATGATAACTGGGGACATTAGTCGCCTTGAGTAACGACAGTCCTGCAAACAACAACATTTTACTGGACTGTCAACACTCCGGGCGGCTAGCTAGCTCTTGCTATCCCATAGTTGCATTTACCCGAGGAAAAGAGTGATGAAAGATTGTGCAGACCGACCTGAGCTGTTGGTTTGTGTTTGCAGCCGAGGACGAGCTATCTGTTGTTAGGAGAGGTAAAGGAACAGGAGTCCAGGGAAGCACTTTGCCATGTAGCTAGCTTAACATGTTAATGCAAAGTACATTTACTGCTAATACTTAGTACTACTTAGTACTTATACTCAGTACTTTTACTTAGGTAAGACTTTGTATGCTAGGCGGTCCAATGGAGTGTTTTTACAGTGTAATATTTAAAAGGATCTGGTTACTTCTTCCAGTCAATTCATTTTAATTAGAGGACTGGTCACTCTTAGCTTTCTGGTAGGAGGTCTGTGCTCTGAATAAAGTGAAAGGATTTCTTTCTATCGCACAAACCCCTCCCTAGTGTCAGACAATAAACTGAGGCGGGAGGCAGCTGTTGCCATGGGAGTGACAAGCACAGGTGAGAGTCCCCCAGTTGTTCCCAGGCGTCAAGACGGGAGTGTGGGACTGTGGCTTCTGACACTGTTTGCATTGTTAAGGAGTGTGTGTGTGTGTGTGTGTGTGTGTGTGTGTGTGTGTGCGTGTGCGTGTGCGTGTGCGTGTGCGTGTGCGTGTACGTGAGTTGCACACTGCGAAAAATCTTCATTGGGTCTATTTTGCAGCCATCAAAGTTGATTCTTGTTTAAAGGAGACGAGAGCAGGGGAGAAAACAAGTCAGAAAAACGACATTTCTGCTTGTTCTCGCCACAGCTGCTCTTGTTTATTTTGTTTTCTGGAAATTACTGTCGGTGTCTTTAAACAAGACTGAATAAGACAGATCACTGCTCTAGTATCAGTTGGTTTTCTTAAGCTAACACTATCTCTCTCAGACTGAAAAGTTGCCTAAAATATATGCTGCATATTTCGTGTTGCTCTCTAATGTCACGGTCTAACATGACAAATCACATACTGCGTTGCACTCCATTTAAGGCTTCACAAGACGGTTGAAACACAAAACATTAGAAAACAGAAATCCTGTGAATTGACGTCACTGCAATGCAAAGTATATTCCTCTTTACCAACCCAGCTGTTGTTAGAAGGTTACCAAAGGTAGGAGAAAGGTAAAAATATATAATATAGTGAGTTTGCTGTTTGTATTTTGAGCTTAAGTTTCAGGATGGCTTGGAAATCTGAGCAGTTGTAACCAGAACAGACACCAGGATTTTATTTTAAATAGGAAATCTGTGAGGTCTAGATAAGGAGACGATGAGACATTCTTTGTTGCAGCTCTACTTCATGATTTTTTTATTGACAAGATGGGTGTGTTTACCAAAAAATTCTCCCTAGTCCGCCTTGAATCCACCAGCGTGAAATGAATAAAAGTTACATTTGATCTAATGTTTCCTTTGTTGTATTTTTAGACGCTCTAATTTGTGATTATAATTAATCAGAACACTGAGTAGCGAATGTCTTCAACATACATGTGACCCTCCCTCCCTCCCTCCCTCTCTTTCTGGTTCCCTCCCAGCGTCCTGGCATGCCGTCTGGAGCGAGGATGCCCCACCAGGGAGCTCCCATGGGGCCCCCCGGCCCGCCGTACGGAGGGAGCCCGGCGGTGCGGCCCGGCCTGCCCACCCCGGTGATGGAACCCAGTCGCAAGAGGCCTGCCCCCTCCCAGCAGGTCCAGCAGCAGCAGCAGCAACAGCAGCAGCAGCAACAGCAGGCCGTCCAGAACCGGGCCAGAAAGTGAGTCTGAGTCCAGCTGACCTCCAGCCACCTAAATACTGCATGGCTTGCGTAAAGCAACTCCTGATGTGTCTGCTTTTGTGTGATCTGTGAGATTACTTGGACAACAACAGCTGTGGTTACACTCTCAATTTAACAAGTTTGGATGAACAACAAATATGACTTTGCTCATACTTTATGGAAATATGGAATTGGCCTTGAATCATGTGCAAGCACTATAAAAAGCTCTGGGTATCAAGTAGTTTCTTTGGTAACAGCCGAAATGTGTCAAAAATTGGTCATTTTTACTTAGTCTTTGAATACACAATTCCTGATTTAACACTGAATTTTGATCATTTTAGACAAGGCTAAAGTTCTTATTTGGCTGTCTGCGTTAAACACAAAGCATCTGCGAGAGTTGTTATGTTCAGTTAAAACAAGGCTTTTAGAAACTGAGGTATTGTACTGGTTCAAACAACACACAGCCCCATGATTAAGAAATAAAATTAATTGACAACAGTTTTGATAAATAATTTGATCATCAGTCATAAAAGTGATTTATCCGTTAACAAGACTGAGAGTCCACAGCTCGTGGCTCTGTGACTTTCTTTGAGCTAAATGCTAACGTCAGCATGCTAACATGCTCACAGCGACAGATACAGAAGAATAAATGAATCAGTGATAAAAAAAAACTGTTCAGTGCTGGCACATCAGATTTACCTGTGCACAACAACGTTTCAATGCTCCACTTCATACTTTCCTAAAATCTCTTTTTTTGAAAATCTGATCTCAAATATTACACTGATGAGAAGTGAAACCATGACCTTTGTGTGTCTCCTTTCAGCTTTCATTTCAGTTTTTGTTCGCAGCTTTCGAGCGTGCACACTGCCTCTCTCCCATTGCTCCACTTTCTGCTCACTCTGTGCATCCACTCTGATCATCCCAATCACCGCCATGACTGAGTGTTTTCTGTCTGTTCAATCTCTATGTCTCTTCAGAGTCTGGTAATCTGTCAAATCTATGTGGCATCCTCACAGCTGTCTGCAGACATTCAGACTCTAGTGCGTGCTTTGGCGTATTGTTACACTATTTATTGTCAGATATTCAACCACTGTGAACAAAAGATCTGATCATCAGTATACCAGGCACACACACACACACACACTCACACACACATCTATAAGGAGATGGTTGTCTATAAGAAGACGAGTGTGTAGCAGGTACGGTCATTAGACAGGTGATCAATATGCACACTCAGTGGACCTCTGTCTTTCTCTGTTTCACTCTCTCAGTATCTGCAGAACAATTGATCCACTTACAATTAAGCGGGCTTGTCGAACAGGTCAGGGGAAATGTTGTCCTGCGTCGGTGCCTCAACCCCCCAGAGCGGCCCGGCTGGCTGTGCAGGGTCTGATCAATGGTCCAGGGTGACCCGTCCAGGTGTCTCCATCTCTTTCGCTCTCTGTTGCTTTGTGAGAGTGCGTGTCCTTTGGCAAACAAGTTTGATGCTCCAGCTCCTCTGTCCAGCTCAGGCCCAACACTGCTGCCAGCTGAGGGCAAACCACCTGTGTTTGCAGTGTCATTGAGACCTTATGGTCCCAGATACACTTGCTCTGCAGAGCAAATGCTGGCCTATGCAAAGCTGCTGCTAAAAATAGGAGTTAATTCTGGTTTGGTTTGCATAAAGTGGTATAAATACTCAACCTTGTGTCCGAGAAATAATTTGTTTTCCCAAATACGTTTTGTGGGGAAACATATTGCTGATAGTAGGAAGCTCTACATTTACATACAGCACATAACAGGTGGCCAGGGTGGATAGTGGGCAGAGGACTTTGACACTAGGGAACAAGGTTAGTCCCACGTGAAGTTAACTTTACTAAAATATATTCATTTACAGTGTTTACTCATAATGCTATCATTATTTTATAATAATAAACAAAATATATTTCTGTTTTGGACTCTGTTTTGGAGAAATAATCTGCAGACAAATCAGTAATTTAAATAATTGAGAATAGCAGCCTTAGGCCCAGCTGCCTCTTTGTAATATTCCCATACCACCTAAAATTTGGATCGTTTTCATGCCAAACCATTTGATTTTACTGTTGAACTTTGTAAGACTCTCGTGGGCTGAGGGTGAAACACTTCTTCAGCTGCATAAAAATTTGTTGAAAATTTGGCACATTTCTTCCAACACCTTCTACAAAACTGGAAGTTGTTCTGACAGTGTGTAATCAAACAACAAATTTGCTGTGGTCGCTCAGATTCACCCTATTCTTGATATTACACATTTCATCACCAGATTAGTTCCTTTATTCCTCTCTACAAATGTCTTCTTGACAGTAACTTAAGATGAACCCCATTGTTTCAGTTATCTGCTTTCAAGATTTCCAGCTGTTACTCTGCTTTTTATTTGAGAACACAGCTTCATCCATCACCTCATATATTTTGATTTGCACAAAAGGGATAAAATATTCAATTTTATCTTTTATTTCCCTTTAAAACCACATTATTTATAAAGCCCAGATATTTTAGGTGAACCTCTGAATCTTGCTTTTTGGTATTCACTTTGGTCGAAGTCCTTGAAGTCAAACCTTAAACCATTCTTCACTGCTCATGACATACATTGTTACTCAGGACACTTCAGGTTTCTTAGGAACATTGTGAGGTTTATGCAGTAATGAAAGGGGATTCTTGGTGCTAGGCCAGCAGGTTGAAGGTGTTGATCAGAGCTGAATTTTCTGGTTTTGGGAAGTAGAAGTGCTCAGAAAGGTTGGAGATTTGGTTTGAGAACTAAACAAAAAAGTAGTGAGTATTGTTCGTGTTGTCTTCATCTGCTCCTGAGAAGCCATTGCACGTTACTACATCAGTGCTACATCCACATTTTCAGTTCAGAGCTGAACCAAAAAGCTAAACTCGCACACTGCTTGTCTACTCCCTTCCCTGTGATCCACCATTATCAGTGTATTGTCTGTCTATGTGTGTGAAGCATGATTGTTTTGGTTCACTGAGAAACTTTGTTGAATGAGCGTGTCCCTCAGACGAGCAGGACGCTTCCCAGGTCCTCCTCTGCTGCACTTTGTGCGTGCATGGACACAGTTACACAACCATCCCAGTGCCTGCCCTTGTCTGAGTTTAGAGTTTGCACCTACTAACAGACCCTTGAACTTAACACACATCCAACACATACAGACATACAAACAGCCAGAACCACCAGGTGTTACTCCTCTACTTGCTGCCACTGAGTGTGTGTCTCGTCACAACTCTAATCGGACAACCTTCGAATCCTCACCAATTCTTAGGAAGCCAGTCGGATTCCCTGGAGCCAATGAGATGCCGGCGAGGCAGATGGACATGAGAGAGCCCCAATCAGATCCCACGCTCGGATCAAAGTAGGAGTTTATTCTGCTGCATGTCCATTTTCTTACGTTTGATGACTCTGGCCTATATAGCCTTTCACCTGAGCCCAGCACTCCCTGAATGAGTTGTTTTGGCCAAACATAGGTACAGGCCTAGAAGTTGACTCCTAAAATGTAGTGGTGCATGCTTTGGACTGGAGCATGGCATGATGGAAACAATTTTTTTGCCGCTAGAACATAAAAATAAAGTAGAATCCAATCTGAAACCCTTTTAAATTAGTGTAAAATGGCGGATTGTTGTGATGCAGGTTTGTGTTTTCCTTTGCAATGCACCCCCAAATCTTCCAATTCTCCTTGCAGCAGGCTTGTTTCAGTATTTGGCATGCTGATGTAACATACTGCCTCACAGATCGTTGCAGTGCTCTGTGATAAAATTTATCCACACTGCAAAAAAACAAAAAACAAACATAATATTCTGTAATCTAGAAGAATATTGCTACTACCAAATAGGGTTGGGCGATATGGCGAAATATACAGTGAGACGATATAAATATGGAAATAAAATATTGACTTATCAACCAGCAGAGGCTTTTTAATATCTTTTGCTGTTTTATACAACAGTTAGTTCCGACCAAGTAATCTGATTGGACGAGAGGCATTCCATGAGTGCTGAGAGAGTACAACAGGGATAGGAACTTTTAACTACATGTATCACTCCGCTTTACAGGTGCGCTATCAACCGTTAATTAGCGTCACATTAACGGACGTTATCTATTTTAGATTGTAACAAACAAACTCAAAGATGAAAATATTTCCGGAAATAACATTTGAATTAAATGATGTATGGTCGTCAGAAGAGGATATAGGGAAGAAGCCTGGATACTTAAGCGCACACCCGAGGTAACGTTTAGACCAAGTGGCAAGCGTGTGCACTGTTTTTACATGTTTATGTGATACTTAAGCAATATCACAGGAGAGGGAGTGATGTACTGAATATCAGCACGGCTGTGAGTCGGCGGCCTCCTACCAAAGACAAACACAGCCGTGTGATATTCAGTACAACACCACGACCTCGAGTGTAATATTGCTTTTATACAATAGTTCTATGAGCGCCATATGAGTTATATAAACAACGATAGATTATGATTTGTTCGTTCATTTTAACATTTATTTGGCAACGCCAACACAAATAGTTCCACAAGTGGCCTGGTCCTAGACTGTTGCCAATTATGCAACAGTTAGTTCCGGCCAAGTAATTTGATTGCACGAGAGGCATTCCATACTGCACAACAGCACTGCGACTTTTAACTACGTGTATCACTCCGCTTTACAGGTGTTCTATTGGCCGTTAATTAGCGTTACATGAACGGTCGTTATCTATATTTCCAGAAATAACATTTGAATTAAATGGTGTATGGTCGTCAGAAGAGGATTAAGGGAAGACACCTGGATACTTCAGCACACACCTGAGGTAACTGAGGTAGACAAAGTAGCAAGCTAGTGTGCACTGTGCAGGTCATGACAATGTTTATGTGTTGCTAGTACCAGTCCAGTTCTATTTGTGTTGGTTTAGCCAAATGAAGGATGAAACTAACAAATAAATCATAATATGTTGTTGCTTATTTAGCTAATGTGGCGCTTGTATAACTGTTGTATAAAAGCAATATCACACTCAAGGTCGTGATATCAGCAGGGCTGTGATTGGTCGCAGGCCGAGTAGAGAAGACAGTCATAGCCTTGCTGATATTTAGTACATCACTCCTCGTGTAATATTGCTTAAATAGCTCTAGTTGTATTAGTTTATTGGTACCAGTTTTAATCAGAGAGCATCTTGATTTTTCAGTTATTTAATTAATTAAAGAAAAGACATTTCCAATAATGCAATATATACGGTATATCTAAATTCCTACATAAAATTACTGTACTGTAATAGACGATTTTATCTTTGTCGCCCACCCTTAGTATCAAACAAATCAGGTAAGCAAAAACAGCTAGATAAGATTTTGAACTAGCATGAAAACCAGGTCAATGCAAAAGCCTCTCTGACCTTTAAATCAATAGTTAGACATTTTGAGAAAAATTGTTTATTCTCTTACCAAGAACTAGATTACAAGATTGATACAGCTCTCATGTCTGTATGTTAAATATTAAGCTACAGCGACCAGCCAGTTAGCTTAGCCTAGCATGAATACTTGAAGCAGGGGGAAGCATTTGGCCCTGTTGAAATGTAGCAAAATCTGCTGGCTAGCACCTCCAAAACTAACAGATTAGCATTACATCTTGTTTTTTAACTGCAAACTCGAGGTAAAAAAAACATCACAAGTTATGGCAGTTAGTTACTGCTTCAAGCCAAAAAGTAGTCCAACACAACTCCTGTCAAAAGTATTTACCGCTCATTTTGTGTATGGATTAAACAAGCAAGATATAACATGTTAATTACTGAGTTTTAGAGGTGCTGTTACCTGGATAGTGCAAGGCTAGCTGTTTCCCTAGATAGCTGTTTTCATCTTAATGCTAATTTAAGCTAACCACCTGCTTGATACAACCTTATATTTTTACAGACATGTCAGTGGTATCAATCTGCTCATCTAATATCAAAATTAATCAAAATATTTTCGTCAAATGTCTTGTTTAAACTTGCTTTAAATCAGTAAAAAAAGACTTGATCAAAGCAATGAACCTTGAAAATTCACAATAAATGTGCTTGACATTACTGTGTAATTCATCTCAATTAAGTAAAACAGAAGCACAGAGAAGGATCTGAAAAACCCTGAGATATAAATTCCTCTCCTTATTTACACCTTTCAAAGCTTCACAAGGAAGATGTAACACTTACAAGTCAAGATTATTTCTCTTTGATGAGAAGAATAAGATTAACTCACCCGTGATAAGTAATTCTGACTTTTTCTTTTCTTTTCTTTTTTTTAAATTGCTCTTTCTGCAGTGTCCTTCTGCAGGCACCGAGATCAGTACACTTGCATGAATTTACATGGGTGCTCCACCTATCACAGGTGTCCACAGATGTCGATGGAATATTTAAGGAAATTTGAATAGAGCAGGAAGCTGTAGTGTTGTTTTTGTAATCAGACTCACCTAGAAAGAAAGTTCTGTCAAAGGCACCAACTTGGCACAGGTTGTCTTATTGTTCTCAGTCCCTCCTTGGTAAGTATAAGACAAAAAAAAACATGGTATCAGTAAACATATGTTGTTCTCACACAGCAGGAAATGCCTGAAATTCGTGAATGAAAATATCTACACACATGCATACATTCTCTTCTGTGGAGGAATCTGCATTCCTAAAAGCTTCTTAACACACATCCTGTCACCATCCAAGTCCTGCTGCAGCGGCCCCAGTGAATCTGCAGAGTGTGTGTGTGTGTTTGTGCGCGCACGCATAAGTGCAGAGAATACATGTCAGGCAAGAGATGTGTGATGTGACACTTTTTTGGCTGATAGAGGCTCTCGCTCTCCAGGTGGACCGCTGCATTTCAGAGAACACATGAGCACATAAACACACGTATGCACACACATACACACACATACACACACACACAGCTGGGACGCTGGGGTGCTGGATATGGCCCAGCATTTTAGCAGATGGCCTGGGTGCTACGCTATCAGTCACCATAGTAACATGCTCTCTTTTTCCTCTTTCTCTCTGTCTTTCTCTCCCTCTCTGTAGTGCTAAGAGAAGGAAAATGGCAGACAAGATTCTTCCGCAAAGGGTGAGGCTGCATATTTTTACCTTTGTTGCTCTGTTTTTTCTGTGTGTGTGTGTGTGTTATTATCTTTTGTGTGCAGAACAGATAAATCCTGGCCGCTTTTTGATGTCAGGGGTTCTTGGAAGGCACAGAAGGCCAGATGATTATGTGCTATTTCCAAATGAGAAGAGAGAGGATGAGGGGAGCGATCGGGAGGTTTAAGGGTTTCTTTTTTAGGGTTTCGTTCTGTTATTTTGGATGGTGGCTTATTGATTTAAATTGGAATAGTCAGTGGGATATGGCAGAGATGAAACCACGAGTAGAACCGAAAGAGGCAGCAGAATCACCACGTTGCCACAGGTGAGTCTGTGCCGACTGAGGTTTGATTTTCATCCCGTGGTCTCAGTTTTCGGCCCTGTGCCTCGCCATAACCTCACCACGTCCTGGCCAGCACGCAGAAGGCTTTCACACTGAAACTATGGAGGTCTGGACACTGAGCGTCTGGGCTCAGGTCTTATCCCCTAACATAACCCAGACAGCGAGATAGCAGTAGGCATGGCTGGGGCGCCACTCCACAATAATGAGTCAGGGACAGGGAATGTCTGCCACACTCCTCCGTCTGCTCAGCACCTCAGCCCGGGGAAAGGCAGTGAGATTCAGATAGAGGAGGAATGAGAGGGAACAATGAAAGCAGCCATTTAGAAAGAAACATGAAAAAGGAAAGAAGAGGGAGGGAGGAGAAGGAATGAACTGTAGGAGTGTGTGTGCACAATTTGGTAAGCAGCAGCCCTCGAAGCTCCGAGGACTTTCATCAGCATGATAATGTCTGAGTCCTGGCTGTTTGGCTGCACACACTGCATCTCATTTGTATCCCCCAGTGTCCCCAGGATGGTGTGGATCATTGTGTTAATGATGGACTGGGCAGATATTTGTGTCCCTTTTCTATGAGTAAAAGAAAAATAAGCTTTTGAAAATAAATAAGTCTCATACAGAACAAATATTATCTGTCACAGTTAATTGACAGTTTTTTATTTGTTTATGGTATGTCAAGGTATAAATCTCTAAGCAACCAGGGTGCCTTGAGTTCAACTGAAAAGCCCCACTGGCTCGCCGTTGGGCCAGGCGCAGTGCGAGTTGATGTTGTGCTGCTAAAACTTTTTTCAAAGCTTCTGAACTTTATTTCAAATTCTAGACACAATCCCAAACTTTCAAAAAAACACCAAATGTGTCTGGTTGAATTTTTAGAAAAGATGATAGAAAGATGATACATAAGACATCAAGAATATTTCAAATAGATGGGATGGTACAGCCATAAACACATGATGTGTTGGATTTGAAGATTTCACACTTTAGCTGCAAATGAACAGGTTCCATTAAGTTTACTGATGTTTTTCTTGCTTCAAGCTAAGTAAGTTAGTCAGCTTTATCTTCAAGGTAACCAGGTCCATAATTTTGGCTAATGCTGGCAGTTAGTTGACCTGTCTTACAGCTAATGCAACAAAGTCCGTATTGTTTGCTAATGTTATCACTCAAATACTTTAACTTCTTATCTAATTAAGGTAACGTTAGCTTATTAGCAGTCAGCTGCCATAGCATTTGCTCCAAACCTACTGGATCCTATATGTTGGCACCATCTTTGTCTACACGTCAGCCATTTTGTTAGATAATATTAGCTACATTAGCTTTATCTCTTAACCATCAAGATAATGGATGTCAAAAGCTATTTGGGAAATTAAAGGAAACTGAATGTATGGGGTTAAAATGTCCTTGAAACAGGACAGCAGACCCCCTACCAGCACCCAGGACAGACAGCTAATCTGCCTAAGCTCTTTAGTGATATTCAGATGGTATATGTGAAGAAAATCTGACTTCTTAATCCAGTGTGTGTGCAGTTGTCCACCTGAAGATTTTAATGTCAGATTGTCCTCTCTCCCTCTCTGAGCAGATCCGTGAGCTGGTCCCTGAGTCTCAGGCCTACATGGATCTGCTGGCGTTTGAGCGCAAATTGGACCAGACCATCATGCGCAAACGTGTGGACATCCAGGAAGCACTGAAGAGACCAATGAAGGTAAGGAAAAGAAATCATGACCCACAAGGGGTCATTGCAAAAAATACAATTTATCCATTTTTGGATTTAAAAACCCTGAAAACAGTAATTGTTTCTCCTTAAGTCATCAGAGAGTCATAAAATTGTACCTTTCCGAGCAAGATTGTATTTTTCACCTTTTTTAGTTTTGTCTCATTTTAAAAGACAAAAAAACATCCTTTTCAAGACTCATTTGACGTCTTCACTCTTGTTAAAGAGACCTCTGCTGTTATATGGAGCCAATCAGTCCAAGGAGGATGTCTTTAACATGAATTTCAACTTATGATTTTGTGGAATGTCCCTTTAAACTGTGGAATTTTATTATGCCCTTGTGTCAGCAGCAAAAGCGTAAACTGAGGCTTTACATATCCAACACCTTCAACCCTGCCAGACCCGACGCTGATGACTCCGATGGCAGCATTGCATCATGGGAGCTGCGAGTAGAGGGGAAGTTGCTTGATGACGTGAGTTTTGTTAGGGAAACGCACATTTTATTTATTTTACACCTACATTTAAAAATAGAAATGACCTACCAGCTCTGTTGCACAGGCTATTTGAACATGAAATAACTTTTACAATTTCTTTGACACTGATCTGCTGCTTGGTTTAGCGTTATGTCTTCTCTGGCAGATTAATTCATTGTAAGGCAAATAGCTACTTATTTAGATTACTGAAATCATAATCTTCCCATTTAGTGTGAAAGTGTGCCGCTTTTTGATCCTGGAGCTGCTCTGGACTGTTTTTTTTTGGCCTGCAGTCACGCTCGCTAATGATCTGCTCAAATGCCGTTGGACAGTAAAAAGTATCAGAATTTAAAATGATTGATTGCTGTTGTGAAAAGTGTTTAGAGAGAGTGTAGATGCACCATGAAAAACAGAGTGATCTGACTTATGTTTCTGCGCTGTAAGCTTTGCTTCAAAAAACTCTTATGTTCTCAGCAGTCCGGGCAAGGCCGTCATTTCACAGCGGTAGGAAGCATTTAGGCTTCACAAACCACAAATATTTCTGGTTGAGCTCAGAGGAAGTGGACCCTGAGAATGTCTAGTGTCTCACTTTTCTTTGTGATCTCACTTGGCCTCTTGTGGGTTTTTGATTAGTATTGTTGCTATAAGCAAACACATGAAGACAAGTGTTTGCATTTGTGTACTTTTATGTATTTGATACATTTGTCTTTGTGTGTATCTCATTTTTAGACATTAACTGACCACGTCTATCTGTGTCTCTGTTCTGCAGCCGGGGAAGCAGAAAAAGAAGTTCTCTTCGTTTTTTAAGAGCCTGGTGATCGAGCTGGACAAAGACCTGTACGGTCCTGACAACCACCTGGTTGAGGTCAGTTCTAACATGGCCGTTGCCCAGGTGCGCACAGGAAGTGGCTCATTTAAGAGCCACATACCATCTGATCAACCTTTAACCAGCTCTTACTACACAACTGCAGACATCTTAGCTCTTGTCATGATAACCAGTGTTTTTGCACATAACATGCATAAATACTCCCTTCAGTCATCAGTAGAGTATTTGTACACACTTTTTACTTTTATATTTTTAGCCACAAATAACACTAAAGACATTTTTGCTTCAGCACAGTCAATCTGACATGAAACTATGAGGGTAAAATGCTGACATTCACCTTTTAAAGCAAATACCAACTTAAAAAATATGTCTTTTTAGTATCAAATATTCAACCTTGTAAGCTTTAACAATGACTAAAAAGTCTGTGGTTTGCGTCTTCACAGCAGAGTGCAGCTATAGTCAGTGGTGGAAGAAGCTTTGTTAGATGCTTTGCTTAAAGAAGTATAGAAGTTAAAAAGCACTCAATTCTTTGTTTTCTTTTTTAGCCTCAAACAGTTATTCATATGAAAATATATGAGCAGTAAAGAGGAGAAATGTTTCTTCTTCTAACTAGATACTTTTTGTAAGGAGTCACAAAAAGAAAAGGTTGAGAACCATTATGTGTTGAATTTAAGAAGCTCATCATGTTTTTCTAATGACAATCTGAAATGTATCATAAATGTAGTAGAGCGAAAAGTATAATTTTTACCTCTGAAATGTTGTGGAGCAGAGATATAAAGTAGCTGAAAACTGAAATAAGCAAAGTGCAAGTCCCTGAAATCTGTACTTAATGCCTATTTGCTGCTTGCATTATTTCACTGTGCGGTGATAAATCAATACACTATAGCTTTTATAGCATTTTATCTCTTTAGACCTTTTAGACAACATTCACATCTGAACAATTTGCCTATTGGTCACATCGTAGGTCAGCGCTTTCATTTGAGATTACATCCATTAGTAATAAAGAATGCTTTGTATGCTGCACAAATCAGTGAATCAGGCTGTTCAGCCATGCAGTCAGGGTCAGTGACGACCTCTTCATCATGCAGAGGAGCGACTTTCACTTAAAATTGTTTTTTTCTGATGTCTGGTTAAAACTTGAGCTACAATCACCCCAACTAACCTGCTCTTTTGTCCCCAGTGGATTAAAAAAATAAAAATAAAATAAATAGATTTTTTTTTTTTTTTTTTTTTTAGAAAGGATTTTTTTTTTTTTTTTCAGCATTGCAAGGTTGTTTTAACATGCAGGTGTGAGAGCTGAAGAAAACAAGTGCTTCCTTATTAAAAACAACCATAAGCTGCCCTTGACTGTGTATCTTCACAAAATGTATTGACTTAAAAAAAAAAAAAAACACTTTAGCAGTTTCAGAGTGAAAATTATGACTTCTCAAGGTTCCTCCTTTTTAAGAGCATATTTGAGCAAGGCACTCAGGTGCTTCGCTCTGAATGATTTTCCATCAAAAGAAATTTTTCTCTGCCGAGGTACAATCAGTACTTAATCTGCTCTGAGTCAGCTGAAGAGTTGAAGGAAAACATTACACTGTACTGCATGCCAAGTTACTGCTATCCACTGTACTGAAGATGGTGTTTAAAGTGCTTTTCAGTTTCTGAGCAGTTAAGCTAAAATGGATACATAAATAAGATCTGCGGTCAGATACATAGGAGGTGCTGGTTTATATAAACACAATGGCTGAAACACAGAATCTTATGGCAGTAGTTGTATTTTTTCCAGGCTGGTATTTGCTTTATCTGTAATTTCATGTCTTCGCTGATTGGGTGATACGGGGCGTGATAACATTCAGCTACACGGCCGCATGGTTAACCTTTTGCTATCGTGGTTTCTCCGCACAATGTACATGGCTAGTTTGTAGAAATCTGCCTCTCACCAAACCACAGACTTAATAACACTGTAGGCTGAGATCAAGGTAAGCTAGACACAGGTGCAATCTTGTCTGTTTTCTTTTGCAAACTGCTGATTCTCCAGCTCCTTATAGTCTGAGTAACCTCTGAACATCTAAAGTATGTCTTAAGAATATTAAATATCAAGACATAATCAAAATAAAAGTGAAAAAAAAAACATTCTTTGGAATTGGACTATGAATGTCTGTTAAAAATTTCTTTGCAATGCATCCAATGGTTAAAGGAGTTGCGCGTAAGTTTTGCTATTGCTACATAGCCAATGTTAGAATTACTCACCAGTCTAGGAGAAACGTTGCAAGTTCAGCATCAAACTTCATTCCCTTACTCAACAAAAGCTTTCTCTTGCAGTGGAAAGCAGCTCTGTTGTTTTGCCTCTATTTCCATCACTTCTTTTCTTCTTCTGACATTAGCATGCCAACCACCTAACCCCAGTCCAGCCGCACCATCTCCTCACTTTATGATACTGAGTCACTGTAGCGTCCCGTCTGCCCTGAATAGGTAGTTTGCTTTACTACTGGTAAGTAAACAGCTGTTTATGCTAACGTTGGCTATGTAGCAACTTACAAGTAGCTCCTTTAAGACATTTGACACTGGACAAAGTGGTGGACGGACTGACCAACTCCTCTTCATATGTGGGTATCGTTTGATGTGCTGGCCACATGAGCAAATAATACACAACTGTCATCATATTTTGATTCAAACTCTGATTGGTACAGGGAATATGTTACATCACCTTTTACTGACCAAGACCTGCCCACTTCAAAAAGCAAGAACAAATACAATTATCTCTCATATGAAATAAAGAAAACTGTTGTCATTTTGGCAGAAAACTGTGTGTTCTTTTCAGATTCCATCTCTTATAGTAAGAAGCTGACTGAGAAAACATGTTTTCAGGGCCTTTAAAGCAGGAATTAATAAATAACTCAGATGAATAAAGTGTGAAACAAACCGATAATGAAGTGTGAAACAAATGAAATTCTGACCATTCATTTTTGAACAAAACAGTACAGTCAATATGTGGTGTTTTGTGTTAACTTTTTCAGTGGCACCGCACGCCCACCACCCAGGAGACGGACGGCTTCCAGGTGAAGAGGCCAGGGGACGTGAGCGTGCGCTGCACTCTGCTGCTGATGCTGGACTACCAGGTGAGGGCGCCACACAGTCTCCCAGCACTGTCCAGAAATAGATTCTCCTCTGTTACAACTGTGTGACTAATCCATGCAATGAAATCAACTGTTGTAGTGACAACCTGCAGGCCTCGTGTCACTGATAACTGCAGCTCCAAAGAAACGCTATAGTGCATTTAAGACTCCATTTTGAACCTGACAGACGTTTCCAAGCTGGGGGAAACATGATAACGGTGTCAGGTGTGGTGGAGCTGATGTAAAGGCTCTGAGGTAGGCGGTTGTAAAAAAGTGTTGAAATGCAATTATATCGTCTCCGCAGCCTCCCCAGTTTAAGCTGGACCCTCGCCTGGCACGCCTGCTTGGTATTCACACTCAGACTCGCTCCTGCATCATCCAGGCCCTCTGGCAGTATGTCAAGACCAACAAGCTGCAGGACTCCCATGACAAGGAATACATCAACTGTGACAAGTACTTCCAACAGGTGTGGGACTCACAGCGTGCTATGAATCACACTGTAGTTGCATAAATATTCATATCAGTGTTGCTGGAAATATGATTTTACTTACAAGAGCAATATGAAAAATGTCTGACCACAGCAGTTTACAAATGACACATGACACAAGCTCCACTTTATTAACCAATTAACCCTTTGCAATTCCAGTTGCATGCAATATAATGTGCTCTAGATTTTTTCGAATATGTTTTAAGCCCTTAAAAAACCCCACGTAGAAAACATACATCAAACGTTTTAGTAAAATCCAACAAATCAGTTTTTATTCTCACATTTCTCTACAGATTTTTGATTGCCCACGGCTGAAGTTCTCTGAGATTCCTCAGCGTCTCACCAACCTCCTCCTGCCCCCAGACCCCATCGTCATCAACCATGTTATCAGGTAGATTCCCGTTTTACTGTGTATGTACCTCATCTAACCAGGAGAACCTCGTTGAGATGAAAAAACTCTTTTCTACGGTGGCCATGCTAAGACAAACAACATAGACAGATGACATAAGTATGAAGAAATATAAAGAGTTTTTTAGTTTTTTATTGTATGTCTTGCACATGTTCCCATGAATTGAATGTGGCGTTCTCTTTTGTCACACTGTATTTATGATGTTTTTGGGGGAGACCTTTTATCCTTGCATTGTAGAAAAAACTGCTTTAATTTAAAGAGCTATAAATGTTAAACCATGGAATTTTGTTTTCTTAGAGCGACCTTAAGACTTTGAAAATATTTCTTCACTTTTTTTTAATAGACAAAAATATAATATTTTTCTTTTTATGTTTTTCTAAATTATCTTTATTACTAAACATAAAAATGAATTTTAAGACCAAAATAAAATTAAATAAACCAATACCACACCACAAATGAGCCACTCGACCCCATAAAGAGTCTGACTATACTGTCAAAACCTAATTAATGTTTTTGCAAGTTTGTAACACAAAGTTAATAACATGCAGGACTGTTGTTGTTCACTATGTAATTATAGGGAACAAAAGGCGTGAGGGTTTCAAAGATTTATTGAAATGTTTCTTTTCAGGTTCTGTAAAGATTTTCTCGCCTGCCACTTCTGCATAAATACATTTTTTACATTTCATCCCTACACTTTTGATTTATTACTCATTTTCTTCTTTTCTGTACATTCTTTTTCATCCCTGCTCCCTGTCAGCGTGGACCCCAACGACCAGAAGAAGACGGCCTGCTACGACATCGACGTGGAGGTGGAAGACCCCCTGAAGAGTCAGATGAGCAGCTTCCTCCTGTCCACTGCCAACCAACAGGAAATCGCCTCACTCGACAACAAGGTGAGATCACCAGCGTCACAAAACACACACTCCGAATTGATTTTATCTTACTTTGATGTTGTATGTCACGCTGAGGTGATAAGTAAGCTGCCTCGTGGGAGCAGCCATTTTTATTGCACACATTTTTAACAGGAGCTTTTATTTTATTGCAGTAGTTTGCTTATAATGGATTTCACACCCTGTTGTTTTAAATGTAGGACCTATTAATGTTTGACTGAGACACATTTAACTTTTCAGCTGACATTTTTGTCAACAGCAGGTCACTGTGGGCGAACAGGAAGGAAGGGTGGGACAAATAAGTAGTTCAGAAATACATTCACTTGAGATGCTAATTTTACTTGTTTCTGTGACACACATTTCCATTGCATTTACCTGTACTTTTGACTATAACATCAGCATACTCACGACACAGCGTTAGGGCGCAAGATCAAGATAAAGGTGCACGATAAAAGTCAAATACGGAGAAAAGCTGTTGATAAAACCGAGCTTTAGGCCACTAGATCTTCATCAGGGTAAATGTCATGTGCCTGTGTATTTGAAAATGAATTAAGGCATTTCGGAACTGCCTGTATTAAAAGGTTAGGAACATCTATATTCACTAGTTCTTCTATGTTTACATCCTGAGGAGTTGTGTATTTGCTGTTTGTAAATACATAGAGTTTGAAGATTTTAGTTCTGAGAGTTGATACAGAATCAAGTCTACTACATTGTGTCCAATTTGGATATTTTTATCAGGATATATCAATTAGTTTATTATTTACAAGAAATTATTATTTATTTGATTTGAATTATTATTTATATGAAAAAAAAGGAAGCACTGTGATTCGTGTATTTTCTTGACGTGCAGTTTGTTACTGTTCCTCTTTCAGATCCATGAGACCATCGAGTCCATCAACCAGCTGAAGATCCAGAGGGACTTCATGCTCAGCTTCTCCAGAGATCCCAAGGGCTACATCCAGGACTGGCTCAAATCCCAGAGCCGAGACCTCAAGGTTCAACAATACTATTTCTATTTACATGCACGCGCACACACTGTCACTCCTCCTGTGACTTCAATTCCCAATGAAACAACACATTGCTACTATTATTTAGAATATATTCTAAATGTGGAAAATACAATATGGATGGATTCAAAAATGTAAACCAATGAAACTGATGATGGGAGGGTTCGGGTGGGGGTAAAGATATATCTATAAGGGAGAGTAGAGAGATGACAGGGAATGAAGATACAGAGATGGGCAATGACATTCAAAAAGAATTACTGTCAAAAACTGTATCCGCCCACAACATGGTATTCAGTCCATGTTTATCACCGATAATATTATTGATGGTTAACATTAATGCTTGTACCTTCTCCCTGGCTGCAGTTAATGACAGACGTGGTGGGGAACCCTGAAGAGGAGAGGAGGGCGGCGTTTTACCATGAGCCTTGGTCCCAGGAGGCCGTCAGCCGCTATTTCTACTGCAAGGTGAGGAAAAAGCACCTCAGCGTCTTTTGCACTCAGACTAAAACATCCTGTTGTTCTGCGTCTTGATGCTTAGATGATATATTCATGTTTTTATTTCCCACCCACCCCCTCCCCAACAGATCCAGCAGAGGAGACAGGAGCTGGAACAGGCCTTAGCTGTCCGCAACACCTAAACTGAGGCTCTCCTGAATCTCTGCATCTGATTTCAGAGCCGTGTGTGTGTGTGTGTGTGTGTCTTTGAATGTGTGTGAGGCCTTCGCTGTAGTCTGCTGAAACCTAATACCTCTAAAAATGTTGGTAACTTAAAAAAAAAAAAAAAACAGCTTTTGTCTTTGTGATAGCAATGACATTTCTGAGGTTTGTCCAATGTTTTGAAAGGAAATTTGAAATTAGAGTGAGGAGGTTTTCACAAGACAGCAGCGATGTGCATGTACGGAAGCCAGATCTCAATGCACATATGCATCCACTGCGTATTCGTTCCGTTTTGTGCAGGACTGTGAGGTCACCCATCTCTTATCGTATATATTCAGCTGCGTGGTTGTCCCTCAGAGGCCGACCCCTTGGACCACAAACATCCTCAGACTCACTTCCCTTTTCATCACTGCTCTCTGCTTTGTAAATAAGTCACTAGCAGTCCCCCCTTCTCTCCACATCAAGACAAACTCTCAACTGGTTTTTTGGATACTCATCTCAAAGAGTCTGCTGTTGTGTCCGACACAGTCAGTCCTCACGTGGTCTGGATACGCCTTCATGTTTTATGTTTTCCAACTCTTTTTAAAACAGATTTTTTTTTTTTTTTTTTTTTTTGGGGGGCATGATTGTAAGTGTGACTGTGTGTGTGTTTTCATTTGTTCTAATTAGGAGAGTGTTTTTGAAGGACTGATTAATTACACCAGCAAAATTGAGATTACAGTGTGACACATTGGGTGCTTGCAGGGAATCGACGCTATCTATAAACCTGAGGTGTAGATTTCATTCATTTTCAGGTTTGAGTGGATCAATTGGACAACTGCCAGTGTGTCTCACTTAGTCTTATTCGCCAGTAAATTGATTTTTCTTTTTACAGTAATTCCTACAACAGTATTAGCTAAGTTAACTGAACTAAAGTGTTATCATCAACAGCTCCTTGTCTGTTTATAGCAAGAATAGTGTTTTAATGAAGGAGAAAACGAGTATTGAGAGTCGTAACGATAGCTTTTTTTCCCTTAATCATAGCAAAATGACAAGTGTGCCGGTACATGTTGAGACTTGCTGACTGATTTGTTTCATCAGTCACTCACTGCCTCTTCCTTGTGTAGTATTTTGCCAGTTAATGTTTTGAAGGTGTTACCAAAGGTTGCAACAAGAAGAAGAGAACATGATCACTGAAACAGAAATGGGTCAAAAATCCTCATCTGGGTTTAATAGAAATTGCAAAAATGTCTTTTTTTGGCAGGTTTAACAAATCCAAACAATTTAAGTAGTTTGAGAGAGAATTTACTCCCAAATGTTTTCCTTTGTAGGCAATTGGGCCTCAAGTTCTCCTAAACAAACTCTAAAACCATTATTGCAATAAACACTTAAGCCCAGGTTTTGAGAGCTTTGTCCATTTCTACACTTTTTATGTTACATGAAGAAGAAAAAGTTTTTTTCTTTTCTAGAGATGTGAATGTAAATATGTTTTCCCCCTTAAGAGGGCCAACTGTACAGTATACAACAGACTATTTGTGTGTGTTTGTTTTGGGGGGGAGGGGGGTTATGGGTAGGGGGTGGGTGAGTTACATGGTGCAGTATGGGAGCTCCATGAGTTTTGAATTAGTAGAGGAGGAATGTTAGTGTTCCTCTGTGTACTATCTTGGGTTGGGGTGGTTTATTTTCGGTCCATCTCGTATCTATCGTGGGAGCTAGAAGCTGCAACAAAGAACGACCTCCCTCACTTTCAATCTCAGTAGCTGTAACACATGATATAATCTGCACCGATCTCATTTTACACTTTTTTTTTTTTTTTTTTTAATTATTATTAATGACACTTGACTTGTATGTATATGTTGTATTGTCAGATGGAGGAATTTTTTCCCCAGCAGTCAGTTTCTAGCTGGAACCTTTTCTGGGTTTCTTTGCACTGTGCTGTAACTTTTTGTCGGGACTCTCTTCGTCATGGGTGAGACCCTCTTTGTTATCCCAGCATACACAATAAGTGATTGGATGATTTCACGATGACCTATGCATGCTCCATGGACATTAATTAATACATCTGAAGAGACAGTATGTGTACATATAAAAAGCTAGCATAGCAGTCAGTGTGAAGAGCAAAGGACTCATCACATTTGTTGAAATGCCTTCTGGAAACTTTTTTGCCAAAAATGATATGCCCTACCAGCAACTAACTGTAGGTGTGATTTTTCTGAACTGTGTTTTTGTTACTAGGACTAAGTTATATTAACTGCACTCATTAGAGGAGAAACAGTAGTCACTGGTAGTATCTTAGTCCTGTGTTTGACCCAGAGTGATTTTTCTTTGTATCGCCAGGGCATTCACCTTGTTGTCACTGAGTCACTATCACCCTCTTGTGGAGGAAACGAGAAGCTGCAACTCCGGGGTGACCTCAGCTGAGAGCAGAACAGTACCAGAGTATCTGATCTGACAAAACGTTGACAGATTACTGTGTCTCCTGTTACTAAACCTTGGCATACAGTCGACATGTTTCTCCCAACTCCCTGCATGTGTTTCTGAAGAGCGGGAACTGCTCTTTCTCTCTGTTTACACTGTTGTCAGAGGGTCACCGACAGGAAGATTATAGTATACATAATACTGTATATCTGTAAAGAGCAAAACTTGTTTGGTGATTACATTCTACAAGAAGAGAAAAAAAAAGGGAAAACAGCTGTGACATTGCGAGACAGCCTGGATGTAAATAAAGAAGCGCTTGCCAAAGTTTGTAAATGCCATGATATCTAAAGTGTCTTTTTCTCGCTTTCATGACTCACTGCCATGTTTATGTGTAGACGCCCTCCTGTGCACACAACAACAGATTATACAAACTTCACCCCCTCTGTGAGAACATGACGTGCTTTGCTGCAAAAATTTGCATATTAATGCACTGTATTGAATTGACCTTCTCAAAGCTACATATAGTAACAGGGAAATGCAACTCATTTAACTCAAGAGCTCAACTAAATGATAAGATGTTATGTGTGACACATTTGGAAGAAACTGAAATTAATATTCTTTCTTAAAGCTGGAGAAATACAACTTCAATGTCACTGGGATTTAAAATCTGCAGTTGATGAGATAGTGACAGTTGTAATTTTTATTTTGAAGTGATGATTCTGTAGAAATACACACACACACAAACACACACACACACACACATACATATACTTACAGTAAATGTTATGGGGATTAAGGTGAGGCATTAGCTGGGTGAGTGCCCTTTATCTCCACTTCAAAAGGTCACAGTATAGCAAAATGTAATGAGCTGCATTTATCAATGTATGAAGACGCAAATCTCAAAAAGGGAACTGTTTTTTTTTTTTTTTTTTTAACTGCATACCGAATATGATTTTATAAATAATGCAGTGTGTACTGCTGCAGTAAACACAAATTTATATTTGATGAGCAATTTTTCAAAGAAAATCTCTCAGGATTAAGCTTTTTTTCCTTCATATTTTTTGGGTTAGGGTTATTTTTTTTGGCCAAAATGTGTAGTTGCTCAAACTAGTGTGTATAGCTGTGTGTGTGACAGCTCAAACTACTACTCCAGAACAGCTCTTCTTAATCTTACTTGAGTGTATACAATAGTAGTAAATAACTTATGGATAAACATAAAAATCTTAAAGCTAATGGAGATGTGTTTCTACGCATGTTGAATCTTGTCTTTATTTTTGGCTTTAAATGGAATCCCTACAGTATCACCGGAGACGGATGTTAACATTAAAGTTGGACTTTTATTTAGTTATAGTATTGTTAAAGATATAACTTAAGACTGTGGCATGTTAGTTACAGACTCTCTGAACTGCCTGGATGTACGGGCGTCGAGAAAGGGTTCATGTAGTTCATGTCGTCCCCCCAGTCATTAAACCGTGTCTCTGACCTGTCTGCTCCAACACTTCATCACAGGGAGTCCAACCAAAGGACAAAATGTGCCCTTATGAAGCAATGTTACTATGTAGCTTTTGAATTGCATGATCTAATTATGCAAATAATTGTGCACTCTGCTAAATTAGCCTTTTTTAAAAGAGTGCTGATTTTGCACTCAAGCTCATTGGTGGGTTAAATCTCCTGCATGAGTGAGGCGTTTGTCAGAGGTGGCAGACAGGCATTTTATTGTTCACTGACCTCACCACAAGGAAGCAGGTGGAGGCCTTTCCACTGTGAACTGCAGCAGTGCTGTACTGCCGCCTGCAAGTCATGCTCCCAACCTCAGAAAGAGCCTCTTTCACTCCGCTGCTCCACTATTCTCCTCAGCCGACAACCTCTCACATGAAGAAGTTGGGTGGGTGGGGGAGGTTAGGGGGCCTCAGCGCGATCGTCTCACCCCTTCAGAGAGGAGGAGGAGGAGGCTGTGTGAAGTGAGCCATTCAGCATGTTCAACCATCTCGCTGTGAAGGTTAACAACCCACACCACGGCGGACCTTGGCTAGGTAGACACGACCCTCCCACTGGGCACTGAGTTCACTTCTCTCCCCAAAGACATATGTGTACAGAATACTTGCCAAAACCCAGGGAGGCCCAGGCAGGGGTGGAGAATTACTGACTTGATGTGAGGGGACGAGGCGGGGCGGGCTGCTTTGGAACAAACTGTTCACTGCCTTCGGGCGCTGCAGTAAAGCTTTTAGGCAAACTGGGAAGACTACAAGATGCATTATTCTGAATATGAGCACACCATGACTAGCGACCGCAAGATTTTTCTGCCATATTGCCTTTTTTTCAGCTCTGCCAAGCAGATAACATATACCTCCAGGAATAACTGTCCAAGCATGCTGCATACAGATCCTATAAACAGTTGTCTTTCTGTTTAATGAGACTGAAACCACACACACTCTCAGCAGCATGAATGAAGAAATGACTCACAGAAGAAATATCGTTCTTTAATATCTCTTAAAAAAACAGAACATATCTTTAAAGTAAAGGCAGCCACTGGCCCCGGCTTGTTCCAGTATTATTTTAAATATCTTCACAAAGGAAGACTTATGGCTCAAGTTTTTTTTTCCTCAATTCATTCTTAACAATGAAGGCTTTTGTTCATTTATTATTTCACGACAGAAGTTCATATATTTAATGGAGTATAAATATTGTCCCTCAGCTCCTGTAAAAATACGTCACCCGCAGGAATACAACAGCTCATCTATATTCTGTGAATGTCTGTAGTCCACGTCCAGGGAGCTGTGCGAGAAGACACTTTCATGACTCATAATTCGTCTAGACATGACAGATTCAAACACACAGACTCATAATTCAGAAGAGATTTTCAGCTGTAGAATACAAGTTTGAGCTTCACCAGCTCTGTCGATGTGTCCGCGCACAAGACGTTGCTGTTGTTTTCCAGCCGATCTTTATCTCTTTCTGCCAAATACAAGTGTGAGAATTTCAGTGTATGGGTCATAAAAGTACCATATTACAATTCACATTATTCTGCATCCAGGCTGTAACTATGAGGCCTCAACACTCTCAAAGTAGCACGTCATCCCAGTGATCCAGATGACGTCTAGGTGCTGTTGGCCTGCTCTTGCTCAAAAAGAGCCATGGCTAGATGTGAGCGTGACCCCAGGCCCTCCAGGTTGCTGAGTACACAGCGGTGGTAGATATCCTCGCTGAACCGTGGGTTGCACGCTCGCCGTACGTATTTCTGAATAAGCGCCGGCTCTACAGCTCTGAATACGTGTAAGCCTGAGTAGCGAACAAATATGTCGTACACGTCCATGCTTTCCAGCAGCTCCTCGTTGTCCAAGATGTCAGCAGCCATCTTGGTCCGCGCGGTCATGTAATCCGCGTTGTAAAAGCAAGCCTCGTCAAAGACGTGGCGGTCAAAGTGGCCGTCTCGCAGCGACTCAGAGGCAAAAGAGGAGGAGGCCGCGGAGGGCTGCTGGTCGCGGTAGACGACAGCAGGGCTGTACTCTTGGAAGTGGATGGGGAAGAAGACTTGCCAGTTGCTGATGGCATTCATCCTGCAGCGGTTCAGGAAGTCAGCGTTGATTTCTGTCCAGACGCTGGACAGGAAAAACAGCGTGTCCACTGGATGCTTCTTAGAGATGATGTCCATCAGCTTGACCTGTGAAGGCACCTCCGTCTTCACGCTGATCCAGGGAATCTTCACGTCACCGTAGCGTTTCTCCACCTCCCCGATCATGGCCTTGATGCCAGCAAACACGTCGGTCTGGCTGACTCGCTGCGCATCAAACGGATCATATATGAACAAGAACGTGAGTAAAACATTATCATGGGTATCAAGAGTGTTCATCACATACATGTCCAGGAAGTTACTGACATAATCCTGATCCTGGGCAGTGACAGGTAGGATGACCTGCACCCGTGTAGCCTCTGTCACATAAGGCATGGGGATAATCTCAACGGCACTGAGAGGACGCAACAGGTTGACCCGTTTTATAATGACTTGACTGTGGCCTTTCTGGGTGTAGGCCTCCAGGGCGAGGTCCAGCATGTACTCCATACCACGTGTAGGATCAAAGCGCCGGTACCCATTAAGTAGACGGCGTTTACGGAAGCGCAGCTGGGGCTGGTAACGTTCATTTAGACGCTCCACTGCAATCTCCAGAACTGCATTAACATCGGCGCGGTCCGCTCCTCTTATTTCACACTTTGGAGAGCTGTCAACGCATGAGTAAATATGCTCTTCCGTGAAGTACTCCCAGTTTATAACCTCAAAACGGGTTTTTGGTTTGAAGGGATGGTTGATTCCTATAGGCCACGTGACTCCAGCTTTACCCTCTGGTGTCAGGTCACTCAGGTTACTGATCTGCATCTAATGAGTACACACAAAAATTTGTCAAATGTATTATCAAAGCTAAAGAAGAAGAGAGATTGAAATGAAACATGCTGTCTACACTGCGTAAATATCACATTTGATTGCTCTGTGGTGTAAGGTATATTTTAAGTCAAGTCAACACAGCCCAATTATCTATCATTAGCAGCTAGTTTAACCACATAGTAAGGCTTCTCATGCACATCATATTCATAAGATGAAACTGGAATGTAACATTTCATGTCCCAGTAAGACACCCTACCCCTTATCTTGGCTTTCAGCCATGTTTAAATATTGTACGAGTAAGGAATTTCAGTATTGGTTCAAAATGTGGGTGCGGTAGTGAGCAGAACAAAGTGTATACACAGAACGTATCACTTTGGCAGCTAACTAGCTGTAGTCTCATCAGATAAGTTGTTTTCTACATGTGAAAAAGTACTGTAAAGTACTACAAACCTGGAGCTGTTGGATCTGTTGGTAAGTCCATTCCAACTCGATCTGGCTGAAGCGTTTGTGTAGGCGGTACATGAGATTTGGTTCTGATACAGGATGGACTGTGAAGGCATTTTTGAACTGCATGCTGTCTTCACGCTCTGGATCGGCGTTTTTCCCGAGTTCGAAGTAGCGATAGGTCATCTCCTGTGAGCCGCACAAATATTGACAAAGAAAAATAAGTGTTAGAATGGATATTCTGCCAATGAAACTGTGAAACACATTAAACTACTCTTCTTTCTTTTTTTTTTTATAATTTCCATGCACATTTCTATTGATACCCATGTATTGGTCCGTTTACCTGGTGCACCTCCACACAGCTTAGACCCAGGTAGTCAATAATGCAGCGGCCCAGCCACTCATCAGGCCTCACACTGAGGATGTCATTACGGCAGGTGTCAAGATGGGGTTGCAGACGGGCCAGCAGACTGCGAGACAGCAGATAGCCGTAACCCCCGTGGCAGTAGCGTGCCTTCTCCTCTCCACCAATGAACTCCTCCGCCCTGCCCATATACAGGTCCTGACCCGCACTGAGGTGGCCCACAAGCTCAGACAGACGATCTGCCTGCATGTATGTGTCATCCTGGGCTAAGAAGAACCAGTCGTAGTCTGAGCCATAGTGTTGGTGGAGGTGACGCACTGTCTCGTACATCAGCCACACTGGCCGGTCGTCACCGTGGGCAATTACAGTCATGCCATGAGGCACCTTGGGGCTACGCAAGCCTGTGAAGAAAAAAGTGCGGTGGAAGTGGTGGGCAACTGTGCGGTTCACCGCCACGGCCAGCGTGTTCAGGGTGGCCCGAGAGCTCAGTACACCCACCAGCAGCCGCTCTCTGATGCCCAGTTCAGTGTGGATATATCGAGTTCTGGAGAGGTGGACAAAGACACAAAAATCAGAAAATACAAGTACAAACAGAATAAAGGTGACGTGACACCTCACAAGAAATATAGTTTGCAACAGACTCAAACATCAGCTTCTAAAACTATTCAAAGACAAGTTTTTTATCCATTCAACAATAGCTGTGGGATTTCAATTAAGACATAAGAAGGATGACAAAATCTTTCACATTTGTGGATGAATAAATCCCCTCTTTCACATCTAAACAACTGTACATTTGTACAAACAGATTTCAATAATGTAACTTCTAATCTACAAGGTAGCTATACTGTGTATCCCAGTCTGGTCATTTACATTATTGCAGAAGAGATTTAAATTTAAGCATTTTAAAAGGAGATACAAAAATATAAACCTCACAGAATTAAATCTTCTCCAATTTCTTAAAACAAGTATGGCAAAATATAATCTAACATGATGCAGCACTTCTTTAACAGACTGCTCTTTAAATATGTTGAAAAAAAGTCAGTCCGACACAGACTTTCACAGTTCTTGTCCTTTTTTTCTTTTCTTCTTCTTTTTCCCCTCAATCTGCTTGAATAGAGATCATGGCTGTGCACATTTGCGTGCAACCTGGAAATGGTGACAAAGACATGATTTCTACTCTCACCTGAGGACTTTCTTGTGTGGCTTGTTTGGGTCTTTGTGATAGGGCACTATACGTGGCTGGAAGTCTTCATCTCCAGCTCCATCTCTTGAGCCTCTCTGGGCATCTCCTCTGCCCAGGAAAAGCCTCCCATTGCCCAGTTCGTCCCTGCAGGAGTCATCGGTATCCCCTTGAGTCCAGGACACCATCAAAAGACTCAGACTGCATCCCAGAGACAGCCCGAGGATAAGGGGTAAAGCAGGCCTGAACAGGGCCAAAAACGAGGAAAGACGCATATCTGGCAGTTATAAGCTACACTTAATGATGCTGTTCTGGAAAGATTTACCACCTACTCTGTGCAGAGCATTTGAAGATGTGCCAAGTTTTCTGCCCCAATTTAGCACATTTTAGTCAAAAATTAGCTTATGTTAGGAGAAACTGACTTGTTGTCCGTGACAGAAAATTGCCTTAAACGTCACATAGTGTCTCTTTCCTTAGTCTCATCCGGTGAGACAGTCGTCATTGAGTTTTGATCAAGTAAAGAGTATATTTAAAGCGTTGCTACCTAGCGCAATCAATTTAAACACCTACTGTTTTATCTTTAGCCTCATTTTTGAAGATAGCAAATTGTAAACGTGATGCTAAGTTATCGGTTTAAGCTAGTTTGTCCCTTTGAAAGAACAATTAATTGCAAATAGCCTAACACATAACGTTTAATGCGACTTCACTGCTGTCTCACAAACCAAGCTGGTTATGTTCGTCACTGTTATGTAAACTGTGTATGACTACCTTTTGGATACATTGCCTTTTGTGCTAACGCTATGTTAATTAGCTAAACTAATTTTGACTAGCGTTAACGCTAACAGCCACTTCTAAAGTGAGCTAACTAATGTAGTAAGACGCGGTGTCACCTGGTAAGGTTAACCGTTTGAGTTTACGCAAATCTAATTAGTCAGTAATAAAACAAATCGAAAGCGAGAGGAACGTTAAGTGTTTGATCGTCTCATCTGAAATTATAACCCCAAGAGTACAACAGTAGCGCTATGTGTCGGGACAAACAAACATCAAAGACCAAGCTAGCATGCTAGCATCGCGTCCGTTGTTTTAGTGCAGATATGTCGCTTCTCGATCCATCTCCACCAACACTGACTTGACGGCATAAATCCCACTTTTGATCGTTGATGTAGGTAAAAAGCCATCCAGCGGACGCATACGTATGTCGTCCATGTTCTTCAGTTTCTTTACTTCCTCAAAAATTGAGTGCCACATGCACAGAGTAGAAATAACGTCCCTCTCACGTCGTTTGCACCCTCATCATCACTGACTGAGCCTATGCAGCTGCAGCATCACCTCTGACTGACTCAAGGGACCTGCCTGTGCGATAACAACCGCTTAAAAACACAACACCCAAGACTATAAATAGATAATAACACATTTATAGGAACGTGTATGCTGCTGATGTATGTGTAGGCCTGTATCTATATATTATTTGAAAAAGCTAACTGGGGCTTCAGGGAATCCTGATGAGCATTTCAACAATCTATCAGTCATTTAATAGAGTTGCGAGAAAGAAAGTTGCAGCCTCTTGTGATGGAATAATAGCACCTTGCCCGATGTTTGTTGTAAACTAAATAACGTGATGCAGAAAAAACTAAAGCAATTTAGAAATGATAAAAACACTTTACAACAAATGAGTACAATATAAATTAAAATAATTAAGGTCTTAATACTAGATTTTATCATGATTTACCTCTACAAAACCAGGGCCACAAGATAGACACGGATAGATTACTGATTGGGCCTGGCACAGGCTCAAGGGCCCAAAATGTCAGGGAGATCTTGGACTTAAGCCTCTGTATAAATTAACCTCTCTTTCTTTTCGTTATAGGACTGTTGAACATGTGTAACTTTTTATTAATCATTTCAGAGTTGTATGTTGTATGTCATACTAACTGATAGTGAGTGCAATACTAAATTTTTTAAATTTAATTTGGTTATCTAATTTAATTTATAGACATTGCCTCCTTTGCACATCTGGTTTTCATCTCTCATTGTCTTAATGTTTTTAATATGCTCAACCACTTTACTGATCAGCATGTTCTATAATTTAGGAATATTCCAGAGGGACAATTATGTGTTCTGTTTCGTGAACATGATGTACCTATATTGTATTATTTTGCATGCACCTTTTATGCATCTGTGTGCAGCACTCGTGCGTAAGACAAATTTCAAGCTGGGAGATGATAAAGTATATGTTATTTTACTTTAGTAGCGTAAATTTCTAATAAATTTGAGATTGATCAAGTTTGTAAACCAAAATGATACGTAGTAAACCCCAGCCATGTTTATCGTGACGTGAAAAAGGTGCATTTAGAAACCTTATCACTGAGGTAAGATGACAGCCTACCCTATCCATCACACCACTGTCTTCCATTTCATTGTCAGGCTTATTAACTGACAAAAAACATTATCACACTATTTTACCCATTTATGAATTAAACTTTACTAATATGGGAGAAAATAGACATTTTACTGCAGTCCCACGAGAAGGGGAGGGCTCATGTATTCTCACCGCCCTCTTTGGCCATATATGGTCCGTCTGGCGGTTTGGCGAGCGGCTACATCCACCCGGCGAAAAGTGGACACGAGACGTCGGTGTGCTCCGGAGACCAGTAACTCATTATCCAGGTAAACGAGAAATTAATGACGACTGACAACAACGACTCAAATTGATAATACTATCAGGTTACTGCGTAAAGACATGTGGGCTTGAAAAACATTAATTACCCGCTGAATTACCTGCCTTCAGAGCTTGGCGTAGCTAGTTGGGCCTTGCGTTAAGTTAGCTTTAGCGGCTCAGGCCTGTTAATTGTAGTTAGCTGTCGTTGTTAGCTTAGCTAGGAGGCTAACGCGGTTAACGGGCAGTTTGTCCAAATTAATATGAATTGCCTCTCACGTGTGACAGTTTTGCTCAGTTCAGCGACCTTATTGTCTGAGTGTCGTAATCGTGTAATCACTTTTAAGTGACAATTTACCGTTAACGTTAGCGGCATCAGCTACCGTTAGCTGCTAACAGTTGGTCTACCAGGCTGTATAATGGGAAGAGCCCAACGTGCAAGCAGGTGGGACTGAAAGGAAGTGAAATGCGGTCTTGATTAGCATTACCACCACCATCGTCAGAGCGCCACAGGCTGTACCGTTGACCGTGTTAGGCCTTTTCTAATAACGTAAGTCCTTACCTAAAATCAGCTGTAAATTGACACAGGCACATTTTTGACGCTGCTTGTTTTCTTCTCCTAACGCCACTTTATGTAAGCGATTGGTCATTTAGTTATACATTCATATTGATTAAATGAAATGAAAGTAAATTCAAAACTGCAAAATCCTTGAGCAACTGAGAATTTGGGTACAGTAATATATTTCATGACATAGTATGATAATATTAAGAGAGTAAAATGGTTGATCCATATTTGTCTTTTCTTCCCTTTTTACTTCTAACTTCTAACTTCTAAATAGCTTTGCACAACCATGCCATCCGACTTGGCCAAGAAGAAGGCAGCAAAGAAGAAGGAGGCTGCCAAAGCCCGTCAGCGTACCAAGAAACCTGATGAGGTAAATGAGGAGGGTGAACAACAACCAGAGACCCAGCGTAATGGAGCAGAGAGCAATGGTGAGAGGAGGACTGATCTTTGAATAAATATGACCATTATAGGTTTGGTTGTGGTGAACTGTCATTCCTGAGATAAACTCTGGCAGTGGCATAACACAAATACTTTTTATGAGTTAGAAATTGACATTACACCACACTTGAACCTGTCATTCTGTCCATAAGTTCATATCTAAATTGACAAGTGTGCAGAAATGGTGAACAATGTTTTGGTTTTACAGGTATTGCCAGTTTGACTAAGGAACTGGATGAGTTCGAGCTGCGGAAGACGGAGGCACGGGCCGTGACAGGTGTTCTCGCTTCACACCCCAACAGCACTGATGTCCACATTAGCAGCCTGTCACTCACCTTCCATGGACAAGAGCTGCTAGCGGACACCAGTCTGGAGCTCAACTCAGGCAGACGCTATGGCCTCATCGGACTTAATGGCACAGGTAACTGGTTGCTGGTCTAGTCAATGGTATCTCCATTCATAGATGCATAGTAGGTACTGAGAAGGCTGTGCAGTCTTCCCTTACATGCAGGAACCTTTACACTTATCTTCACCATTCCACCACATTTGCTTCAAGATGTCATGCACTGCTCATCTTTAGCAGTTCCCTAAAGTAGAAGTTGGATTTTTTATTTTTTTTTTATGTCACAGACCACAAAAAGTAATTGTAATATTATTTTGATTTTACAGGAAAATCCATGCTGCTGTCAGCCATCGGGCATCGTGAGATTCCCATTCCAGAGCACATAGATATTTACCACTTGACCCGGGAGATGGCCCCCAGCGACAAGACAGCTCTGATGTGTGTTATGGAGGTTGATGAACAGAGGATTATGCTGGAGAAGGAGGCAGAGAGACTTGCCCATGAGGACTGTGAGTTACATGTGATATACCATGCAATAATGTTCCACAGAGGGGAAACACAGACCTAAGTTTAAGTATAGCTGACCTAAGCAAACAGACATGCAACAAAGAAAAAATATTTACTTAATATTTATTTTACTTTTTTACTATTAAAAATAAGTTCAACTGCCATGGAAAACTATCTTACATGTACTTATGTTACTGTAGTTATTGATATTAATGGTAAACGTGTCTCCCTTTCCTTCCTAGCTGAGTGTGAGAAGCTGATGGAACTGTATGAGCGTCTTGAGGAGCTGGATGCAGACAAGGCAGAGATGCGAGCCTCACGGATCCTCCACGGTTTGGGTTTCAGCACCGCTATGCAGCAGAAGAAACTGAAGGACTTCAGTGGAGGATGGAGGATGCGTGTTGCTCTGGCCAGGTAAAGACAAAGGGCTTAGTATTACACCATTCAGTGACATTGTGTATAAGCTACTTTGTGCCAAGTGCAGCTAAATGTGCTTAGAACAGGGCTTTTTCTTGTACCAACTTCATCTAGGTCAGAATGTTCATGTTTTTCTGTCAAATTAAGACTTTTTCTAAGTGAAACTGTAGAAGCTTACTCATAAAAAGTAACACCTATGGAAAAGGAGTAGCCAATATTTGGACATATTTGTCTAATTAATTTTAGTAAGCTGTAGAAACACAAGATAAGAACATGAAATAATGGTGTTTTTACATATACAGAAAGAAGATTTCACAATGCTGAGTTTTCTGTAAATTCAACTTTTAAAGTATGAATTATTTTTACAGAGCCCTGTTCATCAAGCCCTTTATGCTGTTGCTGGATGAGCCCACTAACCACTTGGACCTGGATGCTTGTGTGTGGTTGGAAGAGGAGCTCAAGTCGTAAGTTCACCCCCTACTTCATTGTTTAAATAGTCCAAACAGTTATGTACATATATAACGTATGCATGGAGAAGGGCATTAATCAACCTGATGATTCTTGTCAGGTTCAAGCGAATCCTTGTGCTCATCTCACACTCTCAAGACTTCCTGAATGGTGTGTGCACCAACATCATCCACCTACATCAGAGAAAACTGAAATACTACACGGTAAGAATATTTGGCTGTAACCACTGCTGGTGTTGTAAAGCAAAATTAAGAAGCACAGTCAGAAGGGAAATCCGTCTGAGCATCCCTTGGAAGGTCTTAGAAGTATCTTGAATGGTTTCTGCCATCTGTGATCTCATCAAGCTAAATAAGGAAACTGGGGGTTGGCTTTTACTAATGATGTGTCAGCGTGACCGCCTGTTGGATGACCATGCAAATCTATTTTTATTTTAAGGGTAACTATGACCAGTATGTGAAGACCAGGGAGGAGCTGGAAGAGAACCAGATGAAGCGCTTCAACTGGGAACAGGACCAGATAGCACACATGAAAGTAAGTGAGGGACACCATGTGGTGGAATGTTTTCACTGCAAGTAGTGGGGAGTCATAATGTAATTAATACATTTAAAATAAAAAATATATATAACATGAATCATCAGAACGCCAACAATGCAGAGTTGCTATTTCACACAACAGAGGCCATTAATGTGGGGAATGTTTAGGGGGTTATTTGCTAATAAAAATGATCATGTGTTAAAATCTACTAACTAACAATTTCCTTTGGAAAAAGCCTAAAAGTGTTTCCTTTTGTGTTCTAAGCAGTCACATGCTCTAAAGTTTCTACAAACAATCATGACGCTGTTGTTTACAAATTAAGACATTATTCTGTTTACATCCCTCTCCTCCAGAATTACATAGCCAGGTTTGGTCACGGCTCTGCCAAACTGGCACGACAGGCACAGAGCAAAGAGAAGACACTGCAGAAGATGGTGGCATCAGGCTTGACTGAACGAGTTGTGAATGACAAGGTACTGTAATGTATTACGTTAATGATAGGCTTGTAAAAGTGGTTTTGGAAACTGAAACACTGGGCGGGGCACTTTAATGATACTAATACTTCCCCCTGTCTCCCACAGACTCTGTCATTTTATTTTCCTCCCTGTGGGAAGATTCCTCCTCCTGTTATCATGGTTCAGAATGTGAGCTTCAAGTACAGTGACAACACAGTGAGTCTAGTTAATATTGCAACATGGACAGAGCTTTGTTCACGGATGTATGGATGGATGTATGGATGGATGGATGGATGGATTTCTCAGTCTCACTCATCTGTTCATGTTTCCTGTAGCCACATATATACAAAGACCTGGAGTTTGGTATTGACTTGGATACACGAGTGGCTCTGGTGGGACCCAATGGAGCAGGGAAGTCCACACTGCTGAAGCTGCTCATGGGAGAGGTTGGTACAGTCCAGTTCCCCAGTGTCCTGCAGCAACTGGCAGATGTTTTTCAGAATATTAAAGTTTGATATTTTTCTCTTTGTAGCTCCTGCCCACCGACGGCATGATCCGCAAACATTCTCACGTCAAGATTGGCAGATATCATCAGGTAAAAAAAACTGTCCTTGTTATGACTTTTTTTTTCTTCTTTTTTTTAACCCTCCTTTGTTTTGTTTTAAGAAAAACAAACAAAAAAAGGAAAAAAAACAAAACTCCCACAAGCATTACCCTGTAGACCAGAACATTACAGTACATTAAAGTTTAATCTGAATCAGGGTACGCTAGGCCTTGGACAGACCTCTCTTGTGAAGTAGCTTGTGTGGTAAAATTAAATGTCTATGTATGTGCTATGTTACAGCATCTGACAGAGCAGCTGGAGCTGGACCTGTCTCCTCTGGAGTACATGATGAAGTGTTTCCCTGAGATCAAAGAAAAGGAGGAGATGAGGAAGATCATTGGTCGCTACGGCCTGACAGGAAAACAGCAGGTTGGAATCAGATATTCGAGAGGATACAAAAAGTGAAATTTATTTATATTGTCTGTCTGCAACAGTCTCTAACTTGACATCTGAAATGTTTGTGAAAGGTCAGTCCAATCAGGAACCTGTCAGATGGTCAGAAGTGCCGGGTGTGTTTTGCCTGGCTGGCCTGGCAGAACCCTCACATGTTGTTCCTTGATGAGCCCACCAATCACCTGGATATCGAGACCATTGACGCATTAGCAGAAGCAGTCAACGAGTTTGACGGCGGCATGATGCTAGTTAGCCACGACTTCAGGCTAATTCAACAGGTACGCATTATCTTTTGATGAATTCATTTGAATATTTGGTTAGAAGCGGCTGTAAAGAATGGTTTTCAGTGAACCAGCTGTAGCAGGCACCATTATAATCTTCATCTTCTTTCCTCCAGGTGGCTCAGGAGATCTGGGTGTGTGAGAGTCAAACCATCACAAAGTGGAATAGGGACATCCTAGCGTATAAGGAGCACTTGAAATCAAAGATCGAAAAGCAAGCGCATGACATCTAAAGCATCATCACACTCTGAGCCACTCCTTTATCTTGCATCATGTATTTGACCTGCAAGCACCTGAAGGGAAGAGCAGGGTTTGCATTGCAGGAAATGTCCCAACAAGAACTGAAACAATCTCTTATGCATCTTATTGGACACGTCTCTTGTACATGTTGTACTGTATTTCCATCTTGGTTTGACAGTGCTACACCGTACTGAACCTGACCCAACCCCTCCTCTCCCTTCACCTCAGGCTGCACTCTGATTGGCTGATTCACCTGAAGCATCTCAGTGCATTTTGGAATGCATTCCATTGTGCTGTCTTCATAGAAACATTTTATTTTTTCCAAACGTTCTGTTTTATCCCAACATGTATGCAGCAGCTTTTAGGTCATATTTTATGATATTTAAAAGTTGACTTTTTTTTGTCTGTGTAAAAGCAGTTCTGCCTTATTTAACAATGTAATGCAATAAAGGTTTGTCTGAATAAACAGAACATAAAAACAGCATATTTAGATTGAGAAGACTTTATTATTCATTTATCACTCAATGAATACAGTGCTTGTATCCACAAATCAAAAGCTTTTAGGGAAAATAAACTATTATACATCTCTGTAAACAAGAGGACAAAACTTGAAGTGATAAGAAGTTGCTTTGGATTCTGACTTGTGAGCCCCATGGCTGCATAGATCCTCTCATTAGTCACTACACTACACTACACTGTATGCTGCTCACCCATTTTTCCAGGTAACTGAAAATGGCTAGGCTGTCCAAAAAAATATTGGTATTTCTTGGCAAACTAACATTAATAAAAGGTAATCTGAAAGCCATTTACAAAACACATCAACTGAGGCCAATGCATCTCCAGGATGCAGTTAAAACAAATTGAATTCCTTTCTGAAAACTGATATCCATACTGGTGTGATTCCCAAAAGTAAAAGACTAATTCTGAAGTCTGCCACCCTTACAAAAGCTGTATTCAGGTAAAACTGGAATGGAAATGTTTTGAGCGTTAATGCAGTCAACGGCAAACACATCCAAAACTTTTTGGTGAATCTAAAGCCACTCATAATCTAACATCATCTGGCAGCTTTTGCCTTTCTCCATCAGAGCTTATTTGTTCCGGTGTTTAACTGAACATTAAGATTTTTATTATCAGTGGGCTGCCAACTAAATTTCGCCCAATACCGATATTAAAGTTTTGTACTTTCTCAAACATTGATATAGGTATGGGCTTCAAAACCAAAGCATTGGTACTAGTTATCATGTTGGACAGATGACATCAGTGGACCTCTAATAGTGTTTGTTGCATGTACAACACTATCAAATATTCAGTCTAACAAAGAAAAGCAAAACATTGGACCTAATTGTAATTACCATCAGGTTGTTTTCCCAGCTGGTAATTAATTCTGGTAAATCCAAAATGAACTGAACATAGCTCCAATTTCAAAGTTAGTTCCAATACCAACTGGCAACATGATGATTGGAAGACATCTGTCTACTCATTCCTCCAAAACATCAACAACCATATTTGGTTGAATTTACAATTTGTTAATTAGGCTGTCATTTCATTTTTAGACAAATCAGTCTAGTAGTTATTACAGTCTGAAAATACATGCTGTGTTATATGTTACATTTTCAACATGAAGTAGATTTCTGCCAGTCAGCAAAACAAGTGCTAACCAGGAGAAAGTTATCTCCAACCTATAAGGCTGCACATAAAGCTTTAAAGCCATAAAGTTTGTCAGTTGGACTTTTTCCAGAGACAAAAGGGCTGCAGTGTACGCGAGTAAATACTGATTTATTCTATATATGTAAACGTTAAATGGCCTAACTGTTAAACACAAGGCTCTCGTTTAAGGTTTCAACTTAGCGTGCGTGATTGACGGATTAGTGGCACTAGCTGCAGTCGAAACAGTGCAAGTTGAAGGAGTGTTTCGGTCATGCTGTTTACAGGCGATCCTGGTGGCAGCATGTTCCAGGGGCTAAAAGAGGACAGCAGCAGTCAGAGACGTGCTCAGGTACAATAACGTGTGGACCAACCGAAGGTATCGATGCTCACTGGGCTTCCCACTCCTCATCGGACACCTCATCAGGGGGTATGGCGCGAGTGTTGCTGGCGCGAATGCTGCTGATGTTGGTGAGAGAGAGGAGGCTTGCGATACCCATCAGACTGACACCGGTGCCGTCCAGGTTCACCTGAGCCAGACGTATGTGTTTGAGAAACTTCAGACCTGAGGAGAAAAAAAAATAAACATACATTGATATTTGTCCGAGTAAGCAAAAAATTACATGCGTCTGTTGAGCATGAGCCAGATAAAGAAAAGGCCAGTGGGCTCAAGTATGTGACCTTACCGTTGTCTGTGATCCGTGTGCGGCTGAGATTAAGTTTAACAAGCTGATTGCAACGGATCAGACCCCTCCTCACTACTGTGTCTCCCACCTGAGTGCTGGCCAGCCCCAACACCTAAACAACACAGAAAAACAAACATCAGCACAATAGCAGTGTTAAATGTGATGTATTCTAATTTAACCCATAGATATCATCACAGAGGGTTAAAATTAAGCCCAATGCTCGATCAAACAGACAGATTCCAGCAGTGAAGTCACCTGAAGGTGCGGCAGACAGACGATGAGCTCAGCCACTCCTCGGCTAGTGACCGCTGTTCGGTCCAAACACAGCTCCTGCAGCTCCTGCAGGCCGCGCAGAGAGGGAAGCCCTGCATCTGTCACCTGAGTGTTACTGAGTGACAGCTTCTTCAATCTACACAGAATATACACAATATTCTTGTCAACATCTGTGTTGTAATCGTACTCAAACAACTGCTTGGCTGTAATGTGTAAGGTAGAAAAGTATTGTGCAGCACAGTATACTAGTTATAAAGTATGGGAATGACCTGGTCATGTTGGAGAGCTGTTTGACTCCTTGGTCTGTGACTTGTGTGTAGTCTGTCAAGTCCAGCTCTGAGAGCAGAGACAGATCAGAGAGGTACGACAACCCGCTGTCTTTCACAGAGTGGCGTCCAGGGAGGGTGAGGTGAGTCAGCTTAAGACCTGGAGGTAAAGTAGAGACCCCGCTCAGATTTTGATTTAACACAGACTTGGACCATTTTATTTCACTTTGTTCATGTTTTGAATGTTCCTTTCCGTTACAGACCTGAGATGATCTGCAGGGCGTGATTGCCATCAGCAACAGGAATTCCCGCCAAACTGAGGGAAGACAGGGCAGGGAGGGTGGCGAGGTGCTTCAGTGACACCTCTGTCACACCTGTCCCGTCAAGGTTGAGAGTCTGCAGGCTGGGGAGCTCTGCCAAAGCTGAGACATCCTCAACCTACAAATAAAAGTAAGACACACCAAGACAGGAAAATGAGAGCACAGTTCACTGATAGACACATGCATAGTGCTGGCATGGCCTGTGCCAGTAGAGCTGCAGTACTTTAGTCTGCTTGATGCTGAGAAGTCGCAGCTGTGACACACAGGTGGGAAGGACTACCAACGTAGCTTCTGTCACTGCTGTCTGGTTCAGGCTGAGCTGAGAGAGGCATGACGGAGCTGACTGGAGGTATAACACCATCCCAGCATCGGTCACTTTAGTCTGGTCCAGGGACAGGAAACACAGACTCTTCAAACCTTGAAGACAAAGGAGAAATACTTTGATACGTGGGAAAATCATAAAGGCAAAACCCCATTTAACACTAAATACAAGTACTTAAGACAGAGCAGATTATGTTGAGATCTGGCATTCTTGCACGTAATTGTAGTTGCTGGTGAAGTGGTGTTACACAATATGTTATCCTCCTACAATAACAGTCTGAGCCTTGTTCACAAGACTGGTAGAAAGCCTAACCTCTGATGTGCTGCAGACAGGAGTCAGTCAGTTTGCTGCAGGAAGCAAGGTTGAGGTACTGGAGTTTGACCAGACTGGACAGGATTGACAGACCAGAGTCTAGACGGAACAAGTTCAGGAGATTAATGTGAAGTAGCACAGACACTGACCAAACTATAGACTATACAAACTACATCCTAGGATAAAACTTTATACCAGTGATGAGAGGTGAGTTGACGAGACTCAGATGCTTCAGCGCTGTAAAGGCCCTTAACTGCCGCAGGAGCTCATTGGTGGAGTAAGGGTAGCAGTTAAGTACAAACTTCTGCAATGGGCAGCCGAAGAAGAGCTCCAGGGTGCGTGGACGAAGGAGTCTTTCACGGGACATGTGGTTGAGCAGAAGCTCTGCTAGCTCCGGGGTCAGGCATGCGAGACTGCTGCTGTACTGCATACTGGGAGCTGAGAGAGTAGAGCCAAGAATGACCACAGTGAGTAAACAAAAGCAACGAGACACATTTTCTGTAAAATCAGTGAGTCTTACAACTGGATACTCTATCTGGTTTCTCACCAGTCATGAGGTGCACAGTTGCGCGGGTAGCCAAGGCACATAGGGATGGCACGCTGGGTGTCCTGAAGGGTCTTTTAGGTGGTGATGGCTGTCCCTGGGAGGCACGGGGGTCTTCTTGCTGTGCAGCTCTTTGAAGACGCTCCACTGCAGCCAGACCGGCAGCTACGGGCGCCACACGACCTCCTGCATCCTCAGGCTCTGCTGGGTCCTCTGCTGGAGCCTCCCTGAAACACACAAACACACACACACACACACACAACTGTCTTTCACATGCATACTGCATTTCAATGCCCATATAAAATATTTCACGGTCGAATTATCTGACTATAGCTACGCACACTGCACTTGAAACCTGCAAAACTAATGTCATTCCCATCAGCCTCAGCTGTAATTGATCAAATATGACCAATTTAACACACTAAAGTAAGATGGTGAACAAGATACAGACTTGCTAAGCATCAGCCCTTACGTCATTGTGAGCTTTATTATACCCCTGGTCCGGTAGCACTTTCAGAATGGTTTGTTACAATTAGCTGCAACGCACTGAAAAATGTCCTTGAATGCTTTTTTACTGTAATGTATGTAATGTAGTATCACCTAAAGTGCATTACAATTACATTACATTAGTGTCATTCTGCCTAGACACCCACCTGAGACGATTGCCTTGCTCTGGCCAGTGATGCCTGGGCTCAAATCCTCCTCGAATCCTGTTCTCTGGAAAGAAAGGCAACCTTGGCATTCCTGTGAAAATTACACACAAGTGACAACTGTAATCCACAAGGAACATGAACAAGGTAAAAGTCAAAACAGTCACTGACATTAAAACCAGCCCATAAAGTTTATAAAAGTCACAGGCCTGTTGGTATAAAATATCTCAAATCATTTTTACTTCTACTGTCTTTACAGTGAAAATCCCACACCTCTGATAAGCATCTTCTGTTCTGGATCTTTGATTCTCCTATGACTAGCTTCAACTGTGAATCAACTACTTTCACTCTTTGGCCTGGCACACATTTGGAAAACTATATCACAACCACGTGGTCTGAAAGACTGAATTTGATTGGCTGGCTGGCTGTAAGCACTTTGGGAACTCAAACTTTCTCACTGGTGGGGCTCAGCAGTTTTGACCCTGTTGTACTGTATGTTTGACAAAAAGGGGCATTCACCTACATTTCCTAATCCTAATCTTTCTTTCATATAACACACATTACTAGGGCAGTGGGTCTAAGGTTCTGTACACTTAAGCAATGTACAGTATAAAACTGGATGAAAGTCAGGGGCCAGGATCATCTGTTTCTGACTTGAGAGAACAAAAAGTTCTACGTGGATGAAAAAGTAGAGCCATGTGGAAACAGGAGGAGGGGAGGGAAAGGGGGGAAAGAAAGCAAAATGTAGGTCAAGGGAGGGATGAAGTGTCTGTAAGACAAAGGGAGCAGTACCGTTAAGCATGTGAGGTGGTCCTTCCTCTCCCTCTTGTTCTTCATCAATCTCTATGCCAGCAGCGTCCTCGACATTACCAGGAACCAACCTCTGGCCTCGCCCTGGTGAGCACCAGAAATGTCATCTCGTGACTGAACAGCTATTTATATAATGTGTAAATAATATTCAATGTTGTGGTTTGTTAAACTAATTGAACATACACAATAGTTGCAAACTGGGAAGAACTGTAATGTTCAGGAAGTAACAATGTGAGTCATTGTGTCCTTAAGTAATGTTAGGTGACTCATAGTCACAGAAAATAAATTCCCCCAGTTGAGTCACCGGTACAAAAGATGACCAACAGCCTAAGAAAATATGTTTTCTTCAAGTCAAAGGTACATGCCTGTGTGCATAAAAATGTAGGTTGAGAAGTTAACTACAACTCCCAACGTGCATTTCAGCAAAAAAAAAAAACATGCACTCACTAATCTTAAAATTTGAAGTGCACTGCCAATGGCAAGCACAAGCCAAAGTTTGTACTCATGAGAAAACTGAAAACACAATCTGCAGCTTTAATTAAATCACTTTCAAAACTGGTGGCAGAGGCTCATGGGTATTGTAGTATTTTAGAGACACCTACCAAATTGATGCACAAAACATTTTCTCAGGAATAAAGTTAAAATAACTAAAATGGTTGTTATAACTTTAACCTATAGAATAATTACATTGTCTGGGAAACTCCCATGTTTCTATGACAAGTGATAATTAGGATTTAATTAAAATGAAAAATAGGTCACTGTGACCTCACAAAACACGTGCTACTTATAACACAATTTAACATATACTACTTGACTGGTTGGTGGAGGCATACAACCATGAAGTGGTAATTCTAGTTTTTTGTTTTATTTATTTTTCATTTTTTTCATACATGACTAGGTAATACTTACCCCAGAAGTGAGACGGCCCAGACAGTGACGGACCAACTCCTGGGATCCCTGCGTAGTTCACTGCCTCTTCCCACAGTTGGTTGGGTAGTGGAGGGGGTAGAACGAGGTTCTGCTCTTCTGCCCCCTCCAGGACAGGGATCTGAGGCTGAGGAGGCACAACACATGGAGATGGCTCATTCTGTCCCGCTAATGGTGAATCAGCGGGACTCGGTGGATCCTGCGGTGTTTCTGGAGGAGTGGTCTGAATACACAGTGCAGCGTTGGGTGTGAGGCCAAGAGAGCGCAGTGAGCAAGCAAGCTCCGCCTCCCCAAAGCGTTTCCGAGGGAAACCCTGGAGGAGAGAAAAGGAGGGCAGGGAGGGGTGGCGTCCGGTGATGTGCTCCACAACGCTTCGCAGAGGGGCATCAGCTGGGAAGCGTTCACGCATTGACTCACCGGATGGCAGCCGAATCTGCAGCAAAAAACAAAAACATGAGTTTTAAACAGCATTTATGTAATTTTCTGCTTTATAATTTTCACACACATAATCTGAAAAAAGATAGGCTCTTCATAGACTCACCATGAGGATGCAGTTGTTATCAACATTTGTCTGAATCTTTCCTCCAACCTTCTGCCCTTGACCACCAGGAGAAGACGTCTCTGTGACGGCATTGGTCTGGATCTTTTCCTGCAAGCTCCTCCGATCCTCAGCTATCCGCTTTAACACCAATTCACGCTCCTGGCAGTACAAAATAGACACATAAGACAACATGTTCTCTTCTCAGATTAAAAATGAGACGCTTGGCTTAAAATATTTTGTTCGCTATGTGATAACAAACAAATGGCCAGTCTGGCTGAGTTAGCACTGTTTGGTACCAGAAGTCCTTTTTCACTACTGCTGACCTGTTTTTTTTGTCTTCTCTCTGCTCTGGCTTCCTGAGCAACACGTTGTCTTTCTTGCTCTTCAAAGTCACTCTTATCTTGTTTGATGCGTGACTCGACTGGCAGTGGTTCTGGGGACAGGTTGCATGATTGTGACGGTCTCAGCATCAATGAGGGGCATGCTGTTAAAGTCAGACACAGTCCAATGAGATAATTTTGCATCCTGAACCATCCATTCCTTTAGGTCATTTTCAACAGCCCATTGATATGATAACACAGTCATATGTATAGGATATTACAACTATGAAATACATTACTATACTTAAAACAAACAGTCTTTACAATTACAACAAAGTAATACCTTACCCACACTCATCATCTGGTCTAATTGATGCACTAAAGCAAAGAACTTTGATACTGTCGAGTCAAAACTGCTCGGTGCCATACCTCTACTTTCAGTGGGAGATGTATGTGACTCTGAAGTGCTAGCTGCCTCTTTGGGTGGGTTGAAAGCAGAAAATGCTGTTTCAGCTGGCTGTGATGACTGCTTGACCAACCTGTGCCGTGGATACTGACCCTGTAAGAGCCTATTAAACATAGGAGAGAGGGGCACAACATTTACTGAGGGGTGTTATCTTTTAAAAATGAAAAGAACATCAATGAACAGTAATAACCACATGGAACTAAGAAAAAATGCTGGGTCAACTCACCACTCAGCTGCCTCTTGCACAGAAAAATGCCCTGCCTGCACAGCCGCCTGGATCTGTTCCTCTGTGAAACCCATCTCGCTGAGGATGAGGAACAACTCCCCAATAGTCTGCAAAACAAAATCAAACACAGACCACTGAGCAGCTATCTAAGAAATCAAAGAGGCATGTAAACAAGGGTTGACCAAACTACCTCTGTTGTGGTTTGTTTTTCCCTTATCAGTGATTGCAGAAACAAAGGCTACTGCAGTACAGTTTGTGTGGCTCAGAATATCTTCATAACTACAATAACATTCAAATGTATTTTTCAGTATAGCCTAAGGACTACAGATAATCAATCTGTCTTTATTGTTACCTTACAATTGTTTGCCAATGACGCATTAAAAATACACATTTATCCTCTTTTTACTTTTAATCAATTAATTATCCAGTTATTTATATTTTTAGTATCTAAGAATAGTTAATTCTATTTTTAATAGCCAAGGATATTCCTGCATTTTATTTTACAACATATAACATTATCTACAAATATACACCATTAATGTACAGTACATTAGAGGGCACTATAATTGCACTCTCAGCTTTTAATTTATTCTATTTAACTTGATGTTGTTTTGGGGTTTTGTAAGTAGTGTTTTGTTTCTGCCTTAACCAAGTATGGCAGGAAAAATGTAACCAATCAATATTGTTCTTCATAGCCATTTTCCAGCAGTCTACTAGAACTTTTACATCACATTTTATGGTTGCATTTAATCTTGACTTAACTGAATATCATCTACCAATAACATTAATTGTGTTTTAGTGTGGACTACAGCTTGACACTCATCTCTCTTTGTTTGCCCTTCAGTAAGTATGACTGGGGCTGACCTGCAGTTTCGCTCTAAACTCTCCAATTCCACGTTAATGTTGACTCATGAAGTTTTCAGTAGTTGGTTAGCCTGTGTCAGGGTTAATGCATTGATTCACAGTGAAGTCAGCGAATTTAAACTAAAGAAAAGATAACGAGCTAGCCGACAGCTAACGCCGGGTATGTTGTCATGTCTTTGGTACAGTGAGGGTTGTCAACAAACAACGTTAGCACGACGGCTAACAGTTAGCTGAGAGAGAACGATGGCGAGGCTAAAGCTAAAGCAGCTAGCAAGATAATATTTTTATGCAGTACAGTGTCTTGTCAAAGTCAGGCTAGTAATTTGCAGCTTACCGGAGGGGCGGCAGAACTCATACCGTTGTTTCAACTTTACTGTAGAAAAAAAATACAAAGTGAAATTGATGTTAATTAGCAACTTTGTTGACTTCCTGGGTGGTTCTGCGGTGCAGCTTGCTATGCTAGCCACACTGACCTCTCCCCCTTAGACATGAAGATTGACAGAATATCAACAACGAACCAGCCTATCAACACTGCGGAGAAACCAGGCTCTCTACACTGAGGCAGCGGCGTGCAAATCAGGTCTGCCTCTTGATGACTGACATGTCCAAACTCCAACCGCTGCCCTAACAACAACCTTAATCATCTATGACCAAACATATCCATGTAATCTGTGGAGACTGTTTATTTGGACGCAGTTTTGCACTAAATACTGGCCGACAGACTATACCGAGGGTGAGAGTGAAAGCTAACGGGATACCTTCCAAACATCAAACAGATTATTTTGATTAAATGAGAAATAAATAAATAAATTAATAAATAAATGATAATTATTACATTTATTAGATATAATTTCTGGCTTCAGTAGCAGTAAGCCACCAATAGGGGGCACTGTCACTCTGTGCAGGTGCATACTAATGTGACATTTTGCATTGATAAAGTAGAAAACTAAAAACTGGTAAAACTTAACTGGTCCAACCAACTTTGGCAGCCCACATTACTATGCAAAACTTCTAACTTCGTACAAATGAATAAACTTTGTGCAATTAGCAGAAAAAAACTAAATCAAATCAATATTTGGTGTAACTGCCATTTGCCTTTAAACTGGTACCATTTCTCTTACACATGCACATAGTCTTTCAAGGTACTTCTTCAAAGCATCTTGGAGAGCTTGCCACAATGCTTCGGTGGATGAAGGCTGTCTCTGTCTTCTGTCTCTTCATGTGATCCAAGACTGATCCATGATGTTGAAATCAGGGCTCTGATCGGGCCAGACCATCTGTTGCAGGACTCCTTGTTCTTCTTGTTGCTGAAGATATTTTTTAATAGCTCTGGCTGTATGTTTTGGGTCGTTGCCATGCTGCTGAATTATTTTGGGACTAACCAAATGCGTCCCTGATGGTAGAACCTAAATATCTAAGGAGACTTAAACTTTTGCACAGCAGTGTAGATACACATGTAAAACTGTGTGGATAGTGTAGCCTATATGAGCAACTGAGGAAAGATACAAATCAATTTTTTACTTTAAATTAAAGATTGAGTGTTTGAATCACAGTATACTTTAAATTGCTACTGAAATCATCTGGTAAATCATTTTGCAATGCTGCTGCAAAAAATAGTCATTGCAAGCATAATAGGTGGCACCATGATGGTAAAAGATGTCATTAAGTGAGATAAGGCCTTCATAAACCCTCTACTGTACAGGGTGTGACACGTAGGCTTCACAAAAGAAGAGGACAAGTTTCTGAGCAACTAGATAAACAATATATTTGACTAACAGCATGCTGTGATAGGCCAGTATTATTCTGGACTCAATCACTATTCCCTATGAGATAAAAATATATTTTTTATCTCTTCCTCTTTATGCATATATCCAACTGCAATTGGCTATATAAAATTGATTTTTCACAGCAGTCATTCAGAGCAGGGAAAGCACAGATGTAATCAGTAACATTAATAATGACTGCATGTAATTTACATCAACAGTCCAAGAGTTCTGCTATCGTACATGGAATGAGTTACTGGGAGATTTAATGGAAGTGAGCCATCCTTAAGTATTGGTTTTACCTTTCCCTTTCCTGCTATGATAAGTCAACATGTCTGTACAGTTTTTTCTAATACTACAAAAAAGGTTTACTTTTTACTTATTGAAATACAAACTTGGCAACACACAGGCAATCAGAAAGGGCAGGGGAGTTCAAAAAGGAAGCAGGTATAGATAAAAATCAATCAGGCTATGAAGCACAATAGCCAGTCTGTTATGTGGGAAAGAGTGGGAGCTAATGGACTGGTTTATATACTAAGTGACTAATTATGGGAACTGAGGGACAGGTGTGCATGCAGGTGAGTGTCAGTTGACTACAGAGCAGTGGGATAGCTTGAGGACTACTACTGGTTAGGAAGGGAACCACAGGGTTAGAGAGGGCATGGATAATATGAAATATAATATATGAATCTATAATAATGTGATAATTTGATTCAACATATTACTTTACAGATATGCAGCATATAAGCCATTTTCCACACAGGTTTCATGACATTTTAAAAATCTGTTAATAAAGCAGGACCCACCTGGAGGCTTTAACACCAAAGGATATTGCTCAGAAAACTAGTTGACATTTACTAAGCCTGTAGCTCTGGTGCCCTGAGGCAGATGCCTGTGGTTGGTACCTCAGGGCCTAAGGCATTGCCACATATTTCACAGATTGTAAAGCCATTTGAGTAAAATTTGTGATTTGTGATTTTGGGCTATATTAACAACAATGACTACACTTGACATAGGCTAATCCAGCCTTACTGATGTGTGACCTTTATAAACAAGCCATAACAAGAATATTAATCATTGTTTTTTTGTTTTTTTTTAATATCCTTCTCTGATTTAACTTACAGCTTGATGATGATGATGATAATGATTAAGAGCTGCAAATTAGTTTTAATGTCAGTGAACCAGTTTATTTATTTAGGCTTTATAAAAACAGTGAAATGTCCAGTATCCAAAAAAGATATTAAATTTACAATCACATTAAACGGAAAGAGCAGCAAATTCTTACATTAGGGGAAGCTGAAAACTAGGGGATGTTTTGCATTTCCGCTGGATGAATGACTTAAAAACAACTTTTAGTTTAACAAAATAGTCGATGGTTAATTTTCTGCCAATGATTAATTGTTTCATCGACTAATTGTTTGGCGACAGTGGTGTTAATGCATATGAAAACCAGCCCCTCTTCTGTAACGTCATGACAAAGACAATCAAAACGTTTAATTAGCACTCAATATGTTTGAGGTGTGATGAGGTCATGGTCATGACCATCATAACGGAACGACACCATCCCCCAGCCCTTCATCACAAATATGAATCATCATTTACGCAGGCGCAGCGATTTGTGTCTGGAGAACACGGCGACAAAGTGACAGAAATTATCAGAGTAACACCGGAATTCGATTAGTGCCACCTTCAAAATAAAAGTAAGAAATCCATAACCATATAATTCTATATTTTTGTTAAGCTGTTATATGGTGCTTTGGTATGTTTTAGATCATCCTTTAATATGATATCCTTGTTTTTACAGCAGTATGTAATCACACATTACTACTACATTTACATTTACTCCAGGACTGTACTGCTTACACATTGATGCGTCAGTATTTGCAATCTCATAATGTCAGATAGAATCAGATAACGGGACACCGCAAAATGACTACTTTTACGTATCATAGCTACTTTCAGTACATTTTGCTGATAACAGCCTACTTTTACTCAAATATGATTATAAATACAAGATATTTACTTGTACTGGAGCATTATGAAAATGTGGTATTGGTACTATTACTTAAATCTAAGTACTATTTCATCACTGCTCATAGATTGAGCTTGCTATGAAGAATTTTAATTTGAAATTTTTCTTCCCGGATATGGAAACGTTTTTATTATAGCGCACTGACACCAGTTAAGCAAGTCATTCAGAGAGAGTTTGAGGTGAGTACCAGGCACCGGTGAGTAAATAAGCCATAATCTGTGTGTTGTCGTAAGCCTCATATGGATTTCGCTTTATGAAAACGTGTTTTCGCTTTGAACCGGCGTTGTTCTGAAGGTCGTGAACTGGTCTTGGCTGTTGACTTATTTTCCTGTGAAGAGAGGCGGCAGTGACAGCCACTATAACTGCCACACATGCATGAATGTATCCGCTGTTGCTGAAGCTGCTGCTGGTGGTGGTGGTGGTGGTGGTGGTGGTAGTGGTGGTGGACGTCTTCGCTTTGTTTCTCAGCTTGTTAACCAGGTAATATATTTAGTTGGGAAAGCGGTTGAAATGTGGTCGGAGCGGTGTTCAAGCCTCCTCTGAGTTAATGTTGGAGGAGTTTGTCGCCCTAGCAAGCTAACGGTTCCTCCCCCTGACAGCAGCTATGGTGTAAAAAAAAAAAAAATAAATTAAAAAAATGTGATGGCCATGGATGAGTTTCAGTGGGTCGTTTTTCTTTTTTAATTTCATGTCTTCAGTAACTAAACCAGGCATTCAACAAGGCAATGTGGAGACTGGGGGTGTGGTCAGCTTAACTCATTCATTCATCATTCATTCATTGCCCACTGCAATAAATGAGCAGCCTTGTATGTCTTTTGTTTCTCAGGTCATTGGGTTGACATGAGTATAAAGAGCTGTCATTGGCCAGTATGAATATGAAAGGGAATATTTTTTATCCCTGTGTAAAGCCTGTAAAGTGGGGACTGACAATAAGAGTGATTTATCTGTTGACATTACACAATTCAGCAGAAGGTGAAAGCTATGTTGAAAACCCACAGATTCTAAAGTTTGTCATTGAGGAATCCCTAGGATTCGTCCCATTTTAGGTATGTGTGGAGTGATAATGATTAGTTGATGAATCAGTTAGTTGCTTGACAGAAAATGAATCAGCAACTGTAAACGACTGCAATATCTTTGCAAGATGTCACCTTGACCGCTGGGAATTTGTAATGTGCTTCTTTTTTTTAAATTGTCTGGCATTTTATAAACAAACAACTAATCAATAAGATAACAGAATACTCGATAATGAAAATAATCATTAGTTACAGCCCTTGGTGTGAATTGTGTACATCTATTGTACTGTAGATTTGGTTATAGGAGAAACTAACGATGACTCAATTTATAATGATATAATAAAAGAACATAAAACTTTTTCCTGATGCAGTGGTTCCTACACTGGGGTGCACATGACCCGGTGAGAAGATTGAGATGAAGTTGAATGGAGCTTTTTCACAGGAGACATTTTGACACAGGTGCAACTAATTACACTATTGTTTGCTGCACAGGAGTAATTACTGGACCGGAGCCATCGTTAATATTATTGGTTGCACCTGTGCTTTTTCTGCTCTGACAAGTCAAATTACAAAGGTTTATGATCCCAATTCATTTGGGGAAAAATAATGAAATACAATTCAGGTGAGCAAGAGTTTTTTCAAACAGC